AATGTGTGTGCAGCATCGTCAACAAGTTCCTGGCAATGGTGACAGGCAGAGGTCGGTTCCCTTCTGATGCGGTGAAGGTATTTGCCAAAACAGCCGTGTCCGGATATGACCGTGTACCTTCCCATTTGTGCAACGTCCAACTCGGCCCTCCAGTCCAGTATCACGCGCTGGCAGGCGTCCAGGCGCCAGGAGCGTATGGTCTCAGTGGCTGGTTCAGCCCCCGCTTCACGCGCATCAGCCCTGCGCCAATAGACATCAGCTAGAGCGGTAGCCTCGAGGTGCCAGGGCGCGGAACCTGCGATTAAACACACGGCATCGTATGACACCGTGCGATACGCCCGCGCAACCCTGATCAAAATTGATTTTTGGGCTCGCCTGAGAAGTTGTTTGTTTTTCCGGGACAACTTGTCAGCCCATACTGGGCACCCGTACAGAGCTTGGGATTTAACAACGCAGGAATAGAGTTGGCGACACCCCTCATTCGGCCCGCCTAGATTCGGCATAATCCGGCTGAGAGCCAGTGACGTGGCGGTGAGCTTTGGGGCAAGTGCCGCGAAGTGCGATCGAAATGTCCACCGGGAATCAAGTACCAGGCCCAAATACCTCAGGGACTTTCCTACCTCGATGGACACTCCTGCAACGACGATGTGCGCTCCCGCTGGAGGCGCTCGCCTCGGGCCGTGAAAACAGATCGCTTCGGACTTCTCCAGTGCGACACGCAGGCCGAGGCGTCTTATCTGCGCTACGACTTGAGCTACCCCAGCAGTAACTCGACGACTCGCCTCGACGTAGGTACCGCCAGATGCCACAACCAAGGTATCATCAGCGTAACAGATGACCCGAACACCTAAGGGCAACGATGCTTGAAGAATACAATTATAGCCTATGTTCCACAGCAGAGGCCCGAGAACAGAACCCTGTGGCACACCGCATGTGACTCGGTAGCATCTCCAAGCATCCCTACCAGGAAACACAATTCTACGATTAAGGAGGTACGACTCTACAAGCCTCCGGAGATATAATGGTATTCCATGATGCACTAAACCTCGCAGAATAGCCTCGTGAGGAATGGTGTTGAAGGCGTTGGCAATGTCAAGGGATACCGCCATTGCAACACCACCCTGCTCTGTGGTCTCCTCGCTTATTTCTCGGACCTCTGCGATTGCATCCACAGTTGACCGCGAACGCCGGAATCCAAACTGGGCACTGTGCAGATCTGGTCCGATAGTTTCCAGGTGTGTATTTATCCTTTTGGCCATGATCCGCTCCAGGATTTTACCACTCTCATCCAGCAATACAATTGGGCGGTAAGCAGAGGGTGATGTTTCTGCTTTGCCGGGTTTCTTAATCAGCACTAATTTCCCAGTCTTCCAAGCAGAAGGAAACTCTCCCTTCTGCATGATCCGCGTCAACAAGCCGCAGAACCTCCAAGCCATTTCCTCGTCTTTAAGGGCGAGAGCCCACACCCTTCCATGAAGGCCGTCAGGGCCTGGGGCTGTGTTCTTGGCCACGACCTTTGCCAATGCTGCATCCAATTCCTCGCGCGTCACGCGCATCGACTCTTCGCCTGGAATCGAGCACGGGTGCGCTTGTGCAGGTGGTCGCCCATTTCCACCTGGAAACAAAGTGGCCACCACTGAGTCGAGAAGCGAAGGTTGCATGCTGGACGTCAGTGGCGGCACCCGGGGTCGCAATTTGCTCATTACAAGTCGAAAGGGACGGCCCCAGGGGTCTTCTTGCAACGTATTAAGAAACCCATTCCAAGCCTCTTCCTTGGCCCTTGCCATTGCCACCCTCAGATCCCTTTTTGCAGCCTGATAAGTTACGTACAGCCGCTCCTCTTCGTCCTGACTGCGACGCGTTTGTGGTCGGCGCCTATACCGCGTAAATACCCTTCGTGACTTCACACAGAAAGATCGAAGAGCAGCCAGTTCGTCGGACCACCAGTAAACCCCATTCCTCGGCCTCAAAACTCGTACGCGGCTCATAGACACATCTGAAAGGTCCGCTAACGCTCTCGTATACCACCGAACCTCATTTTCGATATCAGCATTCCTAATCGGGCCGGAACACCAAGACTTAACTATTGTCGCCTCCTCGAACACGACTCTATCCAATGACCTCAGCGACCATCTAGGGCCGATCTCCGACGGAATGAGATCCTGTCTAGCTGGAGCGATACACGACAATGGAGGGATTCGGAATTGGATGTATCTATGGTCCGACAATGTTTCTACCTTTGTCATAACCTCCCAATCTTCCACGCGACGAGCAAGACAGGAACTTGCAAAAGTGACATCAACGATGGAGCCTCCCGCTCTGCGTACGCACGTGTGCTCGGAGCCTTTGTTTAGCACTGTCAAATTATACATTGCGGCCCATCGTAACAGGGCCCGTCCTCGTCCACGGTCATCCAGCGTCCCCCACGCAGCCGACTTCGCGTTAAAGTCACCGGCGACGATTATGTCGTGGGGGCGGGCCCAATCGACCAGTGCGCCTATCTCGACTAGGAACCGCTCGAACTCGATGAGCGTCTTATTTGGAGAACAGTAGGCGCTTATTACGACAAGATTCTCTGAGACTCGGACGGCGACACAGCCGCGACCCTTTCGGTGCGGTCCTGAAAGTGCCACCCGGTCATTGTCGAGTATAACGGCCGCGAGGCCTTCCCTATCCACAATCCAATTTTGTCTTTGAGATACGGTCCTCAAGTCTGAGATGTACGGTTCAGACATTATGGCGACATTGATGGACCACTGTGCCATGCTTTGTGTCAGGAGATCCTGGGCATTGGCACAGTGGTTAAGGTTACCTTGGAGGAATCTAAGGGTTGTGCTAGGCATTCACGTTTCCATCTAAGTGCATTGGTTCCCCGTCCGGTGGGGCTGACTCGGTCGGAACGTTGTTGTGCCGCGGCCTCTCTCTTCTTGCAACTTTGGCGCTAGGGGCCGGACATTTAGCACTCCCCAGCCGATGGTCAGCCTTTCGGCCCGCTTCCTGGCAAAGGACGCACATGAGTTTGCCCACGCAAGTCGCGGCCCGGTGACCTGGTTGTGCGCAGCGGTAGCAGAGACCGCTACGATCCGTACCAAATGTGCACCTGCTGGCTACGTGCCCGTTTTGAAGGCACCGGTAACACCTTATATCTCTGCGTTCCAGGATAGTAACCCTAGCTGCGACCCAGCCTATGAGCAGTCGACCCTCCGAAATTTGTTTAGCCGCAACGATCGGACAACGGACCCAGGCCCCAAACAAACCAGTCCTGTCCGGCCGAACCTCACTCACCGTTATTTGCTCCCGGTTACAGCCAACCTTCTCCGCTATAGCCATTTTGATGTCGTCTGACGTGACTGAGTCATCAAGGCCAGCCACTCGAACCTCGGCACACTTTTCAGGTCGCGACACGTTCACACCGCTAGGACAGATATCCTTCAATTTCCTGGCAAGGGCATCTGCCTTGGCTCCACTGTGTGATCCAGGTAGCTCTAAGATCACCGCTCCCGTTGCCGCCCGTTTAAACTTGACGGCTTCAATGCCCAGATTAATTTTTTCCTTTGCCTCACGTAGTACGGAGGCGTAAGACATTGCCTGTTCATTCTCAGTGATCGTAAGTACAACGGCCGTAGATCTTGGAGCCTTCAGCTTGACTCGTGGCCGTTGAACAGTCGTTGCTGCGGGCTTTACGATGCTAGCAGTTGGGGTATCCTTGCTAGTTGCATTCCCCTTCTTTGCCTGTTTGCGCTTCCTGGTCACTGTTTTCCACTCCTGCTCGCCAGTGGCCTCCGGGTTGCTCTGGGTTGGTGGAATCTGCGCACTTAGGGCATCGGGTGCATTGTTAGCATCAAGTCCCCGCAGTTTCCTTCTTTTCCTAGGTTTCCGCTTCTGCTCTAGCGAGTCTCCTCCTATGCTCTTCGGCGTAGAGTCCCCAGTTGTAATCGGATCCGCTGCTAATGGTGGTCGAATTTTTGGTTCCGCATTTAGGCGAGGCTCCAGGTTGGCGAGTCTCGCACTAAGACATTCGCCCATTTGTCTCATTAAACGACCTTCTAGCTCGGCCAAAAGTTGTGGTAGCTGCGGAGATGGTGAGGATTTCCGTGGTTGCTCTTTATGCACCGGTTTCCTGGAACACTCTTGGATCAGAGTTCTCAACTCAGCCATTTCCTTTTGAAGTGCTTCCACCTGTCCACGAAGCCTCTCATTTTCGTTTCGGAGTGCCCTCGTCTCCTCGCTGACTGTACGGTCAGCTAGCTCTTCGGCGTCTCTGCGGATTGAGGTTACCGCCTGTTTAAGCGCTGACACAAAGGTGCCCTTTAGGTTGCTCGAATTTCGGGCGACTTTATCCACGGCGGCGAGGCTGGCCTCAATCCTCAAACCTAACCTAACCTAACCTAACCTAACCTAACCTAACCTAACCTAACCAGTCGCAGTCGAGCCGCGGACCTGAACGGTCACGAAACAGCTAGCTCCGCCTTCAAAAAATCCGATAAATGGTATTTTTATCGCAAACTAAAGAGTGCTATATATCATCCTGTGCGTCTTGCGACGGCGATATCGGATATATATACATTATAAGTGAAAAGTTCAAAAACAGTGGAGAAAAGTGCAAAAAACCCCTAAAATACAAAATTTTCTGTGAAAAAGTGAGTGCGGTGCGCGATCTAGATCTGTAACCCTACCCGTTCTTCGCATCGTTGGATGCGTCTCAACGAGCTGCATCTTTTGACGCATCATTTGGATTTTTCCGCTAAAAGGTACGACAGAAAATTGAATAAAATAAAAAGGGGCGTGACCACAAGTTTGCGAAATAGGGCCGCCCCCCAAAAGACCAATATATCAAACGACGCGTCTTAAAGAGACAAGAAGATTGACGTATCGTTGTAAAAAATCGGCTCAGAGGAAAAAAAATTTAAAAAGCAAAATCAAACATAACCTTAGAAAAAATTACTTTTAATTAAATAACTAAAAAACTAAAGCGGCGACCCCAAAATTAAAAATCACATTCAGATAGAGCACAAAAAGACGCGTCTTTTGAGGGGTCGCACGGATTTTTCCGGCCACGAACCAAAGAGCAACAAAGAAGAAACCGCAAAACCACGTGGCACGTGGTCGGTGTTCCCGTGGGATAAAGAAGACGTGCGACACATCATTCGATAGCTCTCGTCGAGTTCTACAAGAAACCATTTCAAAAACTGAAATCGACCTAGCAGCTGAAGAGAAAAGTCGACGGGAATAGTTTCATCAAAAAACCGGGAATAACTCGGGAACGGTAGGAGATAGGGCTTTTTTAACGTCACCCCAGTATATGGATATATATCCATATTCTGGTAATGATTGCGGGGCTTAGTTTTATAATATAACATTTTAAAAATTTCGAAAACTCAAAATTTGCAAATATCCCGAAAATTCGAAAAATTTTTCAAAATCGGAAATCTTTAAACGCCCGTATCTCAAAAACGGTGCTGTTTTCGGGATTTTTCACGGCAGACTTGTATACATTTATGTATACAAGCCTTGTTCCAACTGATTAGATAAACATTTAGGCAAAAAATTTCCCCCCCCCCAAGAATTCACCCCGCAACCTCCCCCCTCTCGCCGTTCTCGAGTATTTCATAAGAATAACTAAATTTTGTAAATTTAATTAGGACAATACAACCCTGCGAAGCGATTTACGCCTTAAAAACCTAATAGTTTAATAGATATTCCACTTTTATTAAAGCCTTTCCTTAGAACCCCCATCCCCACCTCTTTTTCAAAATTATTTTTCCCCTAGTTAAAATAGGTAAAGAAAATATTACAGTTGAGAGAAAACCGCGACGAAATCGGAGCAAGGACACCGGAGTTAGAGGCGTTTGTCATATTGACGGCCATTTTTGTCCGCCATCTTGAAAATTTAAAAATTTGATATCTCTGGAACGAGTTGTCCGATTTCGGCGAGACTCTCAACTTTTAAAAGGCCAGACTTCGCTCCGCAGGATAGATTTTAAAAATTGTAAAAAAGTAGAGTCGACTCTACAAACCCAGTTTTCTCACTTGACAAGTCGGGCGTAGGGCGCTTATCACGACTGTGAAAACCGCACCTTCCTCCGGCAAAATCTTACGGAGATACGACAATTTTACAGATTGGCGGCCATTTTGTCCGCCATCTTGAATAACTTAAAAACGCTATATCTCGGTAACTACTGAACCGATTTTAGTACAAGACATATCAAACAAAAGGGCTAAAGAAGCCAAATCGGACTGGGTGGTAGAGACGACTCTACATAGAGTCGGGAAAAAATTTTCTGTGACAACCGGCTCAAAATTAGAATAAGTTGACGGCTGCCACCCTATTGGGGACAGACCTTAGGTTAAGTTTAGAAATTTGACATTTTGACGGCTGCCACCCTATTGGGGACAGACCTTAGGATAAGTTTTAAACAATTTTTGACAAATTGACGGCTGCCACCCTTTTGGGGACAGACCCTAATATTAAGTTAATATATTAATATAATTGTACATAATAATTAATTACTGTGAACTGACACGGCTACTGCCCTATTGGGAGTAGACCTTAGGATAAGTAATAATATTAAGAAATAAATAATTGTACATAGAAATTATTTGCTATATTGACACGGCTACTGCCCTATTGGGAGTAGACCCTAGATTAAGTTATTCATTTTAAAAAATTTGAAAATAGCGTAGTACTTTTATTGAACCACTTTGATTTTAATAACTGACAAAACCTAATAGGCAAAATGTTGGGACTACGAACTCCACCCAAAAGCCAAACATCGGCGCCTGGCATAAGGCGAAGTATAGATAAATGGGAAGAGGCCTCCAGCCAGGGCCCGAGGGTGGCAAAGAGGCTCCCCTGGCGGGGGCGGGTGGAGGAGGAAAGTCTCCTGCTCCCGCTCAAACCAGGGAAAAAGAAGCCAAAAATTGCTACCTTAAGGCAATGGCACATCTGGCGGAGTCCAGAAATATTAAAACGGACATAAAAACCGGGGTACAGACAGCCGTAAAACGGCTGTACCAACTAGTAAAGGAGGCCGAAGAGGAGTCACCGAAAAACCAAGACAAGCCAACACCAAAAGGGAAAAAAGAAATACTAAGCGATAAACTAGACAAACAGATTGAAAAACTGGAAACGGAAAACAGAAAACTGGAGAAATGTAGGAAAGAAATGGAGGATCTGGCAATAAAGAAAAATGAAAGCATCCTGGCCGAGATTAGGAAAGAGTTTGACGAGAAGGAAAAGAGAGAAAAAGAAAGATATAACATTCTGGAAGCGAAAATGAAGTCGTACGCAGAAGTGACAAGGGAAAATCTCGGCCAGGACCAAAATAGGAAAGGAGGCCCGGGACATAAACCTACGCTGCACTCTGTCGTGGTGGAGCCGAAGAGTTCGACCGACACGGCAGAGGATACAATACAAAACATCCGTCACCTACTAAATGCGAAGGAGGAAGGATGGCAAGTTCAAAAAAATAAGGAGAGCCAGAGACGGAAAAGTTGTAGTGGGCTGCAGGACGGAGGAAGAGAGGAGTAAACTTAAGGAAAAATTAGGAAGAGAAATGGAAGTAAAAGATGCGTCAAATAAAAACCCTCTTATAAAAATTAAAAATCTATTGTCCTGCAACACCACGGAAGATATCACCCGGGCCATCAGGAACCAAAATAAAAACGCGACTGCACACCTGGAGGAACAGGACCTGACCATAGTGGAAAAGTATAGAAGGAAAGCAAGAAACCCTCTGGAGAGCCACGTGGTCCTGCAGGTCGCGCCAAAACTTTGGCAATCATTAACATCGGCTGGTAGGATACACGTGGACCTGCAGCGGGTTTGGGTAGAGGACCAATCCCCTCTGGTCCAGTGCACTATGTGTCTGGGGTACGGACATACCCGCAGACATTGTAAAAAGGAGACCGAGGTGTGCAGTCATTGCGGAGGAGCCCATTTGAGGGCAGATTGCCAGATCCAAAAGGAAGGTAAACCTCCCAGCTGCGTTAACTGTATAGGAATAAAAGGAAGAGACGCGGAGCACGGAGCCTTCAGTCAGAGCTGTCCAACCCGGCAGGGGTGGGACAAGGCGGCGAGGCTAAGCTACGCGTATTGTTAAAAAAGCCGAGGGCACCAACAATATTACCGGCTTTCTCCTGGCACAAGCGAACCTTAGAAAAAGAGAATCGCGATCCAGGAGTTTATAAAAGAAGCGGGCGGTAGGAACGTGAAAATAGCACTACTCCAGGAACCGTACATAGGGGCCAGTAAACAGATGGCAGAAAGCCCTATGTACAGAGTAGTGCAGTGCGTACCCACTGGAGAGAAACCGGTGAAGGCGGCGATACTTGTTTTCGACGAACACATTGAAGTCTTTCAAGACAAGTCACTTATCACGGAAAACATAGTGGCTGCCGTCCTGAGAACGGACCAGTGGGAAATAGGGGTAATATCAGTGTACTTCGAAGGCGATGAACCCATCGAACCATACCTCGAACAACTAGGAAGCGTCACGAAAAAACTTAAAACCAAGATGGTACTGATTGGAGGGGACGTGAACGCATGGAGTGAATGGTGGGGAGCCGAAACGAAGACACACGAGGAAAGGAATTACGAGGGTTCCTTGACGAAGAAGGGCTGAGCATCCTAAATTGTGGCAACACACCCACCTTCGACACCGTAAGAGGGGGCCGTAGATACACGAGTGCAGTAGATATCACAGTATGCACAACGGCCCTCCTCAGTAAGGTAACGAGATGGTGGGTTGATACTTCCATCACTAGCTCTGACCACAACACAATTTTTATGACTACAGCCCTTCAAAAACCCCAAACGCACAACCTACCGAAGACGACCCGCAAATACAGTACCAAAAATGCAGACTGGGAGGAATTTAAGAACAAGGTAAGGACAGGACACATAAACCACGACATCACCCAAGAAAAGATACAAGGACAGGACACAAAGGCCGGGGTCAATAACATAGTAAGGGAATATATGAAATCAATAACAAATGCCGCCGAGAAAAATATCCCCAAATTGAAACAGAGGAAGAAAAGCTTCGATCCACCCTGGTGGAACAAAGAAATAGAGGCCCTAAAGAAAGACATGGTTAGGAAAAAGAAAAGGATCTCATACGCAGCTCCCAGGAGGAGAGAGTGCGTAGTAACTGCCTACCTGGAGGCAAAAAAGATATACGAAGAAGAGATCGAAAGGGCTCAAAAGGAAGGGTGGAAAAAACTCTGCACGAAGCAAGAAGGGGAAAGCTTATGGGACAGGATATATAAAATAATAAGAAAGGCGGAAGGGATCAGGGAAGACACCACGCTAATAGAGAAGGGCATTTCGTTGAACTCCGAAGAATCGGTGCAGCTGCTGGCACAGAAATTCTTCCCGCCTGATAATTGCGAGATGGATGATGACATCCATCAAAAAATGAGAAAAACGGTTGAGGAAATGACCAGCAGCTTGCAGGGAAGTAGCGCTGATGAAGTGCCAATCACAATGGCGGAGCTCATCAGCACTGCTAGAAGCTTCAACCCGAGGAAGGCCCCGGGGGCCGATGGACTCACTGCGGATATCTGCTGCGCAGCTATCACGGCGAACCCGGAGGTTCCCCTGGCCATCTTCAATAAATGCCTCGAAGTGGGATGCTTCCCTGATCTATGGAAGGAATGCACAATAGTGGTACTGAGGAAGCCAGGAAAGGAGGATTACGCGGCCGCCAAATCCTACCGTCCAATAGGCCTCTTGCCAGTCATGGGGAAGATACTAGAAAAGGTTATCATCAACAGGATCAGACACAGCCTACTCCCCAGGATGAGCAGGAGGCAGTATGGATTCATGCCAGGAAAGAGCACGGAGGATGCCCTCTACGATATCCTGACAAAAGCGAGGAGCCACATTAAAAACAAGGAAATAGTGCTGATGGTGTCGCTAGATATCGAGGGGGCTTTCGACAACGCATGGTGGCCGGCGATCAAGTACCAACTAGCAAAGAAAGACTGTCCCAAGCAACTAAGGCTGGTAGTGGAAGACTACTTCAAAGGCAGGAGGGTGGTGGTCCGCTACGCAAACAGAGAGCATGTGAGGCAACCTGAAAAGGGATGCATTCAGGGCTCGATTAGCGGCCCCACCTTCTGGAACATCTTGCTCGACCCACTACTGGTCGAACTAGAAGAAGATGGGACATACGCACAGGCTTTCGCAGACGATGTTGTGCTGATGTTCAGCGGAACGGACACGCACTCCATCGAAAACCGAGCAAACGTTGCCCTCGAGTACGTGAGGAAGTGGGGTATCGAGAACAAGCTCAACTTCGCGCCACAAAAAACCAAAGCAATGGTCCTGACGCGAAGGTTGAAGTTCGATACCCCAAGAATAAGAATGAATGGACAAGACATAATAATGGAAAAGGAGATTAAATTACTGGGATTGACGATAGACGATGGGCTAACGTTTAATAAGCATGTGCAAAATGTCACAAGAAAGGCGGCAGATATACAAAAGAAAATAGCAAGAATGGCGAAGCTAGAATGGGGAATGACGGGGGACATGGTACACCAGGTATACCAAGCCGTCATAGAGCCGATAGTGACTTACGCGTCGGCAGCCTGGGCACCGACAGTTAAGAAATTGTGCACAAGGAAAAACTGGAGACGGTGCAGAGGGCTTTCGCACAAAAAATAGCGAAGACGTACAGGACGGCATCGCTAAATTCCGCGACGCTATTGGCGGGGATACTGCCCCTCGACCTCAGGGTGGAAGAAGCCGCCGCGATGTTTGAGGCCAGAAGGGGGTCGTCTCCGTTCATACGCGAAGGAGACCGGATTGAGCGAGCCGTACCTGCGTTAGAACAACCCCATCCCGCGGAAAAACCGGATATTAGCTTCGCCATCACCAATGACCCTGGCCTAATTCAAAATGACAACAAAACGGCAATTTACACGGACGGAAGTAAGACGGAAGGAGGAGTAGGAGCCGCCTGGTCCAAATGGGAGAATGGAAGGGAAAAGAAGTGGAAAAAGATAAAGATGGCCCCTTACTGCACCGTGTATCAAGCAGAGCTGGCAGCTCTCGTTGGTGCAGTGAGGGAGGCGATGATAGCGGGTACTGACGTGAACATCTGCAGCGACTCGCGGTCTTCGCTCGAGGCGATTGCGGGCGGACGCTCTCGAAATCCCCGAGTAATCGAGATCCGCAGACACCTGGTGGAGAGCCTTAAAAAGGGCCAGAACATTAAACTCCACTGGGTGAAAGCGCACGTCGGCACGGAGGGGAATGAGAGGGCGGACGAACTTGCGAGAGCCGCTGCGGAGACCTCGAAAGTCAAAGCGGCTCACGTAGAGTACCCGCTGTCATACATAAGGAAAGAGATTAGAAGGAAGACAATTGAGGAATGGGACCGGCGGTTTAAAGAAGGAACGACAGGAGGAACCACAAAATTGTTCCTGATAGATGTCACAGCGGCACACAAACTAGTGAGGGAAAAAGATTTAGTCCGGAAATGACACAGGTCCTTACAGGACATGGGCCTTTGCCGAATACCTGTACCGGTTTAAAATTAAAGACAAATCTGACTGCGAGTGTGAGAATGGGGTGGAACAATCCATCCCACACCTACTTTTGGAGTGCCCCATTTTTGCCTCCTCCAGATGCGACCTGGAACAGATGACAGGCATGTCGCTTAGTCTTCAGGGACTGCCCGACATGCTAGTCTGTAACAGATCGCACCTGGAGGATTTTTGCCAAAAAATTACCAAAAGAACAGCTAAGTTCAATGAGAGTAAGGCCGGGGCGGGGACCGCGAGGCGGCCGGCGCCCACTTGCTAAGGGGTATTATGAGAATACTCACGGAGAAGTAAAAGCCGCCCGCCTCGCGGGCCACGTCTCAGGATAGGAATATTTAGAAGAAAATAAATAAATAGGATAAGGAAAGAGAAATAGGAATAAAAATAAAAAACTGTAACTGTGATATTGTAATGTGTAAAACCTAATAAAAATTAAAGTTGTTGTCTATTATTATGAGGAAGGATGTAAGAAATGACGGAAGTTTAGCTTAGTCAACGCCCCTGGCGATAAAGTAGCCGGGGAAGGTAGGCCTATTAGGTGCAAAAAAAAAAAAAAAAAAAAAAAACCTAACCGAACCTAACCTAACCTAACCTAACCTAACCTAACCTAACCTAACCTAACCTAACCTAACCACCGGGAGCTGACGGACTCACTGCGGATATCTGCTGCGCAGCTATCACGGCGAACCCGGAGGTTCCCTTGGCCATCTTCAATAAATGCCTCGAAGTGGGATGCTTCCCTGATCTATGGAAGGAATGCACAATAGTGGTACTGAGGAAGCCAGGAAAGGAGGATTACGCGGCCGCCAAATCCTACCGTCCAATAGGCCTCTTGCCAGTCATGGGGAAGATACTAGAAAAGGTAATCATCAACAGGATCAGACACAGCCTACTCCCCAGGATGAGCAGGAGGCAGTATGGATTCATGCCAGGAAAGAGCACGGAGGATGCCCTCTACGATATCTTGACAAAAGCGAGGAGCCACATTAAAAACAAGGAAATAGTGCTGATGGTGTCGCTAGATATCGAGGGGGCTTTCGACAACGCATGGTGGCCAGCGATCAAGTACCAACTAGCAAAGAAAGACTGTCCCAAGCAACTAAGGCTGGTAGTGGAAGACTACTTTAAAGGCAGGAGGGTGGTGGTCCGCTACGCAAACAGAGAGCATGTGAGGCGACCTGAAAAGGGATGCATTCAGGGCTCGATTAGTGGCCCCACCTTCTGGAACATCTTGCTCGACCCACTACTGGTCGAACTAGAAGAGGATGGGACATATGCACAAGCTTTCGCAGACGATGTTGTGCTGATGTTCAGCGGAATGGACACGCACTCCATCGAAAACCGAGCAAACGTTGCCCTCGAGTATGTGAGGAAGTGGGGTATCGAGAACAAGCTCAACTTCGCGCCACAAAAAACCAAGCGATGGTCCTGACGCGAAGGTTGAAGTTCGATACCCCAAGAATAAGAATGAATGGACAGGAAATAGCATTAGAAAAGGAAATTAAATTACTGGGGCTGACTATAGACGAAGGGCTAACGTTTAATAAGCATGTGCAAAATGTCACGAGAAGGGCGGCAGACATACATAAAAAGGTAGCAAGAATGGCGAAGCTGGAATGGGGAATGACGGGAGACATGGTACACCAGGTATACCAAGCCGTCATAGAGCCGATACTGACTTACGCGACGGCAGCCTGGGCACCGACAGTAAAGAAACTGTGCACCAGGAAAAAACTGGAGACGGTGCAGAGGGCATTCGCACAGAAAAAAGCGGAGACGTATAGGACGGCATCGCTAAATTCCGCGACGCTATTGGCGGGGATACTGCCCCTCGACCTCAGGGTGAAAGAAGCTGCCGCGATGTTTGAGGCCAGAAGGGGGTCGTCTCCGTTCATACGCGAAGGAGACCGGATTGAGCGAGCCGTACCTGCGTTAGAACAACCCCATCCCGCGGAAAAACCGGATATTAGCTTCGCCATCACCAATGACCCTGGCCTAATTCAAAATGACAGCAAAACGGCAATTTACACGGACGGAAGTAAGACGGAACGAGGAGTAGGAGCCGCCTGGTCAAAATGGGAGAACGGTAGGGAAAAGAAGTGGAAAAAGATAAAGATGGCCCCTTACTGCACCGTATACCAAGCAGAGCTGGCAGCTCTCGTTGGTGCAGTAAGGGAGGCGATGACAGCGGGTACTGACGTGAACATCTGCAGCGACTCGCGGTCTTCGCTCGAGGCGATTGCGGGCGGACGCTCTCGAAACCCCCGAGTAATCGAGATCCGCAGACACCTGGTGGATAGCCGAAAAAAGGGCCAGAATATAAGACTCCACTGGGTGAAAGCGCACGTCGGCACGGAGGGGAATGAGAGGGCGGACGAACTTGCGAGTGCCGCTGCGGAGACCTCGAAGGTCAGAGCAGCTCACGTAGAGTACCCACTATCATACATAAGGAAAGAGATTAGAAGGAAGACAATTGAAGAATGGGACCGGCGGTTCAAAGAAGGAATGACAGGAGGAACCACAAAATTATTCCTGACAGATGTCACAGCGGCACACAAACTAGTGAGGGAAAAAAGATTTAGTCCGGAAATGACACAGGTCCTTACAGGTCATGGGCCTTTTGCCGAATACCTGTACCGGTTTAAAATTAAAGATAAATCTGACTGCGAGTGTGAGAGTGGGGTGGAACAAACCATCCCACACCTTTTGATAGAGTGCCCCATCTTTGCCTCCTCCAGGTACGACCTGGAACAGAAGACAGGCGTGTCGCTTAGTCTGAAGGGACTGCCTGACATGCTAGCCTGTGACAGATCGCACCTGGAGGATTTTTGCCTAAAAATAACTAAACGCACCGCAGAGTTCAATGGAAGTATGGCCGGGGCGAGGACTGCGAGGCGGCCGGCGCCCACTTGCTAATGGGTATTATGAGGATACTCACGGAGAAGTGAAAGCCGCCCGCCTCGCGAGCCACGTCTCGTGATTGGAATGTGTAGAAAATAAATAATGTAAGGATATAGATATAAGTAGGTAAATAAAAGACTGACTGTAGAAATGTAAAGATAAATAGATAGAGTAAGGAGATAGAAATAAGCAGGATAACAAAAAGTGTAACCGAAACCGTATTGATATGTGTAAAATCCTAATAAAGAATAAAGTTGTGTTGTACATTATTTAGAGGATGGATGAAAGGAAGGAAGAAAGAACGCCCCCGGCGTTGTCTAAGCTAAACTTCCTCTTTTTTTTTTTTTTTTTTAACCTGGGGAAACCCGACTACGGGCGCCCGCGCCTGGGCAAATTGTTAAATGGCGCGGGTAGTGTGGGGGTCAAGGTCGTAAAGCGACCCCATACCCACTAAAACCACCAGGGCCCACTGTTCGCTATGGGACGAGGGCGGGTAACAGCTAGGCCTTTTCACCGCGCCCCGTCCAGCGAATGCCGCTTACGCGACACATAATAAATTTATATATATATATATATATATATACTTATACACACACATATTATTATATATTTTTTACAATTTTAAGAAGACTCCACATAAACTTCCCGGGCCCTCTCGGCTTGCTCTTTGCACAGCATTACCACGCCACAGTATGTGGATAAAACTGTCCACTTCTCTAAATCAGCCACAGCCTTCTTTATTATTGTAGAAAGGCTCAGATCTGTCCCAAAGGCTGCAACCAGGTTGCGCCTTTCTTCCGCCCACGCCGGACAAGCCGCTAATGTGTGTGCAGCATCGTCAACAAGTTCCTGGCAATGGTGACACGCAGAGGTCGGTTCCCTTCTGATGCGGTGAAGGTATTTGCCAAAACAGCCGTGTCCCGATATGACCTGCACCAGGCGAAAAGTCAAAGAACCACGCTTCCTCTCCAGCCACTCGTTCAGGACGGGCAAGATCGCACTTACCGTGTACCTTCCCATTTGTGCACCGTCGAACTCGGCCCTCCAGTCCAGTATCACGCGCTGGCAGGCGTCCAGGCGCCAGGAGCGTATGGTCTCAGTGGCTGGTTCAGCCCCCGCTTCACGCGCATCAGCCCTGCGCCAATAGACATCAGCTAGAGCGGTAGCCTCGAGGTGCCAGGGCGCGGAACCTGCGATCAAACACACGGCATCGTATGACACCGTGCGATACGCCCGCGCAACCCTGATCAAAATTGATTTTTGGGCTCGCCTGAGAAGTTGTTTGTTTTTCCGGGACAACTTGTCAGCCCATACTGGGCACCCGTACAGTGCTTGGGATTTAACAACGCAGGAATAGAGTTGGCGACACCCCTCACTCGGCCCGCCTAGATTCGGCATAATCCGGCTGAGAGCCAGTGACGTGGCGGTGAGCTTTGGGGCAAGTGCCGCGAAGTGCGATCGAAATGTCCACCGGGAATCAAGTACCAGGCCCAAATACTTCAAGGACTTTCCTACCTCGATGGACACTCCTGCAACGACGATGTGCGCTCCCGCTGGAGGCGCTCGCCTCGGGCCGTGAAAACAGATCGCTTCGGACTTCTCCAGTGCGACACGCAGGCCGAGGCGTCTTATCTGCGCTACGACTTGAGCTACCCCAGCAGTAACTCGACGACTCGCCTCGACGTAGGTACCGCCAGATGCCACAACCAAGGTATCATCAGCGTAACAGATGACCCGAACACCTAAGGGCAACGATGCTTGAAGAATACAATTATAGCCTATGTTCCACAGCAGAGGCCCGAGAACAGAACCCTGTGGCACACCGCATGTGACTCGGTAGCATCTCCAAGCATCCCTACCAGGAAACACAATTCTACGATTAAGGAGGTACGACTCTACAAGCCTCCGGAGATATAATGGTATTCCATGATGCACTAAACCTCGCAGAATAGCCTCGTGAGGAATGGTGTTGAAGGCGTTGGCAATGTCAAGGGATACCGCCATTGCAACACCACCCTGCTCTGTGGTCTCCTCGCTTATTTCTCGGACCTCTGCGCACAGTTGACCGCGAACGCCGGAATCCAAACTGGGCACTGTGCAGATCTGGTCCGATAGTTTCCAGGTGTGTATTTATCCTTTTGGCCATGATCCGCTCCAGAATTTTGCCACTCTCATCCAGCAATACAATTGGGCGGTAAGCAGAGGGAGATGTTTCTGCTTTGCTGGGTTTCTTAATCAGCACTAATTTCCCAGTCTTCCAGGCAGAAGGAAACTCTCCCTTCTGCATGATCCGCGTCAACAAGCCGCAGAACCTCCAAGCCATTTCCTCGTCTTTAAGGGCGAGAGCCCACACCCTTCCATGAAGGCCGTCAGGGCCTGGGGCTGTGTTCTTGGCCACGACCTTTGCCAATGCTGCATCCAATTCCTCACGCGTCACGCGCATCGACTCTTCGCCTGGAATCGAGCACGGGTGCGCTTGTGCAGGTGTTCGCCCATTTCCACCTGGAAACAAAGTGGCCACCACTGAGTCGAGAAGCGAAGGTTGCATGCTGGACGTCAGTGGCGGCGCCCGGGGTCGCAATTTGCTCATTACAAGTCGAAAGGGACGGCCCCAGGGGTCTTCTTGCAACGTATTAAGGAACCCATTCCAAGCTTCTTCCTTGGCCCTTGCCATTGCCACCCTCAGATCCCTTTTTGCAGCCTGATAAGCTACGTACAGCCGCTCCTCTTCGTCCTGACTGCGACGTGTTTGTGGTCGACGCCTATACCGCGTAAATACCCTTCGTGACCTCACACAGAAAGATCGAAGAACAGCCAGTTCGTCGGACCACCAGTAAACCCCATTCCTCGGCCTCAAAACTCGTACGCGGCTCATAGACACATCTGAAAGGTCCGCTAACGCTCTCGTATACCACCGAACCTCATTTTCGATATCAGCATTCCTAATCGGGCCGGAACACCAAGACTTAACTATTGTCGCCTCCTCGAACACGACTCTATCCAACGACCTCAGCGACCATCTAGGGCCGATCTCCGACGGAATGAGATCCTGTCTAGCTGGAGCGATACACGATAATGGAGGGATTCGGAATTGGATGTATCTGTGGTCCGACAATGTTTCTACCTTTGTCATAACCTCCCAATCTTCCACGCGACGAGCAAGACAGGAACTTGCAAAAGTGACATCAACGATGGAGCCTCCCGCTCTGCGTACGCACGTGTGCTCGGAGCCTTTGTTTAGCACTGTCAAATTATACATTGCGGCCCATCGTAACAGGGCCCGTCCTCGTCCACGGTCATCCACCGTCCCCCACGCAGCCGACTTCGCGTTAAAGTCACCGGCGACGATTATGTCGTGGGGGCGGGCCCAATCGACCAGTGCGCCTATCTCGACTAGGAACCGCTCGAACTCGATGAGCGTCTTATTTGGAGAACAGTAGGCGCTTATTACGACAAGATTCTCTGAGACTCGGACGGCGACACAGCCGCGACCCTTTCGGTGCGGTCCTGAAAGTGCCACCCGGTCATTGTCGAGTATAACGGCCGCGAGGCCTTCCCTATCCACAATCCAATTTTGTCTTTGAGATACGGTCCTCAAGTCTGAGATGTACGGTTCAGACATTATGGCGACATTGATGGACCACTGTGCCATGCTTTGTGTCAGGAGATCCTGGGCATTGGCACAGTGGTTAAGGTTACCTTGGAGGAATCTAAGGGTTGTGCTAGGCATTCACGTTTCCATCTAAGTGCATTGGTTCCCCGTCCGGTGGGGCTGAATCGGTCGGAACGTTGTTGTGCCGCGGCCTCTCTCTTCTTGCAACTTTGGCGCTAGGGGCCGGACATTTAGCACTCCCCAGCCGATGGTCGGCCTTTCGGCCCGCTTCCTGGCAAAGGACGCACATGAGTTTGCCCACGCAAGTCGCGGCCCGGTGACCTGGTTGTGCGCAGCGGTAGCAGAGACCGCTACGATCCGTACCAAATGTGCACCTGCTGGCTACGTGCCCGTTTTGGAGGCACCGGTAACACCTTATATCTCTGCGTTCCAGGATAGTAACCCTAGCTGCGACCCAGCCTATGAGCAGTCGACCCTCCGAAATTTGTTTAGCCGCAACGATCGGACAACGGACCCAGGCCCCAAACAAACCAGTCCTGTCCGGCCGAACCTCACTCACCGTTATTTGCTCCCGGTTACAGCCACCCTTCTCCGCTATAGCCATTTTGATGTCGTCTGACGTGACTGAATCATCAAGGCCAGCCACTCGAACCTCGGCACACTTTTCAGGTCGCGACACGTTCACCCCGCTAGGACAGATATCCTTCAATTTCCTGGCAAGGGCATCGGCCTTGGCTCCACTGTGTGATCCAGGTATCTCTAAGATCACCGCTCCCGTCGCCGCCCGTTTAAACTTGACGGCTTCAATGCCCAGATCACTCAAATTAATTTTTTCCTTTGCCTCACGTAGTACGGAGGCGTAAGACATTGCCTGTTCATTCTCAGTGATCGTAAGTACAACGGCCGTAGATCTTGGGGCCTTCAGCTTGACTCGTGGCCGTTGAACAGTCGTTGCTGCGGGCTTTACGATGCTAGCGGTTGGGGTATCCTTGCTAGTTGCATTCCCCTTCTTGGCCTGTTTGCGCTTCCTGGTCACTGTTTTCCACTCCTGCTCACCAGTGGCCTCCGGGTTGCTCTGGGTTGGTGGAATCTGCGCACTTAGGGTATCGGGTGCATTGTTAGCATCAAGTCTTCCGCTTCTGCTCTAGCGAGTCTCCTCCTATGCTCTTCGGCGTAGAGTCCCCAGTTGTAATCGGATCCGCTGCTAATGGTGGTCGAATTTTTGGTTCCGCATTTAGGCGAGGCTCCAGGTTGGCGAGTCTCGCACTAAGACATTCGCCCATTTGTCTCATTAAACGACCTTCTAGCTCGGCCAAAAGTTGTGGTAGCTGCGGAGATGGTGAGGATTTCCGTGGTTGCTCTTTATGCACCGGTTTCCTGGAACACTCTTGGATCAGGGTTCTCAACTCAGCCATTTCCTTTTGAAGTGCTTCCACCTGTCCACGAAGCCTCTCATTTTCGTTTCGGAGCGCCCTCGTCTCCTCGCTGACTGTACGGTCAGCTAGCTCTTCGGCGTCTCTGCGGATTGAGGTTACCGCCTGTTTAAGCGCTGACACAAAGGTGCCCTTTAGGTTGCTCGAATTTCGGGCGACTTTATCCACGGCGGCGAGGCTGGCCTCAATCCTCACCTTTGGGTCAGCGAGCCGTTCCGTTTGCGCTGTACTACTTATTCTTGTTGGGGGACTGGGAGTCGCCTCTAGCAATTCCGCTTCAGTCCTCTTCTCCCGTTCTACTCGTTGCAGTTTAGTTAAGGCAGCCCGGGACTTTCTCGTCGAGTGAGGGGTTCCAGTGTCGCTAGAACTACATTCTACCTTCCTTCTTTTCCGACGAAAGAATCGCGCCGGTCGTCCTTGTACATGTGGTGAGTTGATGGAGGCATACGATGCGTCAGCGCTGAGCATCTCACAACTCGTCTCCAGACTGGCCTCCATCATTTGTCGTCCAATATTTGTTTCGATATCGGTAATAGCCTCAACTTCTCGGTCTACTATGATGTTATTTGGACTCGATGAGGGTAGTGGAGTTCGCACCAAGACTACTCTACACTCTTTGAGAGGGACAGGCGTACTCCGGTTGGACATCTCGCTCTCGTCCCTTGCATTCTCCTTCACATCTCCACATCCTACTCCTCTCTCCTCCTTCTCTTTCTCATGAGTTTGGCCCCCCCCCCCCAGAGTACGGTGGGGCTTAGCCATGGCATCGCCATGGGTGGGATTTAACCCACCTGGGGTAGTTAAACGTGTATTAAAAGTCATGCTTGCTTTTATTTAAACAGGGGTCGCTCCCCTGTGGCCCACTTTAAGACCCATGTACCACAGCTGAGTGCCCAAGCTGTAGCGAGTCCTCGCCGTCACTCCGGAGGGATCCGGGGACGCGTTTTTTTTGGCGCTAGGCATTGACCTGCCCGCCAACGACCTCAATTCCTCATAAAGAGGGGATTAGGTGTCCGACGCCACGCTCATCAGCGCCGAACGTTAGGGGATTTTTGTATCAAGGTTTCCGTCTTCTTATTGCCCAATAGGGCCTCTCCTCCAATCGAACACAAACAATCTATAACTAAACAAAACAATGGTCGAGCGTCCTCCACCATACGCTGACCATATCGCCAAAAGATGCTTTTTGCCCCCCAGAAAACAAAACATACATACACCTACACCGCATCTCGCATGGTTCTTACGAAAGAAAGAGTCGAGAGCAGCCGAGTCCCAGAGACAAGTGCGCAGTAGCGCGATAAAATGGACCTCCTCCCTAGTCACCCCCGCACAAAGCAAGGTCCCTCGGTTTCACCTTTGAGATCAAATGATCTCTCCAGCTTGCCAGGGACTAGCGGACTCGTTTCCGCTGGGCGCTGATGCCCTCTCCAGAGACCGGCCTTCAAAATAAAGGCCAGCCTGTTTTACCTCCTTATTTGCTTCCCCTTTGCGACGGCATTGCTACGGTCGCTCCAGATACTGGGCCCCCCCCGGCACGACAAGCCTAGGAGCCGCGGGTAAATCCATCCGCGGAGGGGGGGAAGCTAAACTTCCTAACCTAACCTAACCTAACCTAACCCAGTCCGCGTCCAGACGCCACCCGAAACGGTCTAAATCCACGTCGCCCCGCGCCTTAAAAAGTTTTAAAAAATCTAAAAAGTGGTATTTCGTACGTTTTTAATATAGTGTAATATATCGGTAGGTATCGCTTTTGAGATCTATCTAACAGTGGTAAAATCATTTTAAAAAGTTTTCGTTTTATATTTTATTTATTCAAAAAACATTAAAAATTTCAGTTTTTTCAACTTTAAAAATAGTGTCAGTTTTCAGTTTTAGTGGTGTAGTGTAATAGAGTGCATCAAGACGGACATTTCGACCTAAAATTGGTCGATAAGGGTCCACAACCAAGGAGTACATGGACAAAACAGTGGAAAAAGGTTAATAACTTTTTATTTAGATCTATAACAGTGTGATATTATAGCTTATAACGATAGTCCTAATTGAGGGCTATCGTTTGATACCCATTTCATAATTTTGGACCTAAGAATAAATTTTCTAGAGTCAAAAAACTTCAAAAATAAGGGTTTTCCCCACCAGCCAGTGGCCCCACAACATACAATTAATTTAATAAGTCTATAAGATGTGCTAGACGAAGAGGTATCTTATGACATATCGCACAAGAAAATCGGATCAGAAATATCCTCTCGAACCGAAGAAAAACTGTTTTTGGGGATTAATCAGCCCCAAACCCAAATCCACAATACTTTATTATACATAGTAAAGACAAGCTAATAATTATTAAGCAACCGACATAAAGATAATAAGAATCGGAACCACAGTTAACAAGTTAAGACCAGAAACAGATTGGAAACGAGGGTTTCCATAGGATCCAGACTACCTAAAATTCTTAATTTACATTTATCGGAGAGCCCGTCAAAAACAACACTAGACAGCTTATATTTCATTTATAAGAATTTTCCATCGACTGAGCTGGACACCAGATTGTCTGGTGACCAGCTGGAACAGCTCCAGCACCTAAACCACCGGCTTGTCCTCTCCGGGGGCAGTCAGAAAACACCAATTACCTCTACCCTACGAGCAACAGCTGCCGAGCAATCCTGGTCTTAAATTCAAGGTAGGGTGGATAACCAGCCCCATATTTTTAGATTTTTAATATTTTTCAAATTTTACTCTAAACCCATCGAGCTTGGGCTTATTCGAACCGGCTTAGCAAGCTCTATAAGATAGTGTACACTGTTCCACTGTCCCTTCCATCGTAGTTTTCGGAGAGGGTTTTAACACAGCCGAACAGCTGCTTACACAAATAAGTAAAACAGTAAACTTTAGACAGGGTGGATACGCCCCAGTTAAGGTCACCCCACTTTCAAAACAAAAGATAAAGGTCCTTTTCGAAAAAGAAGAACACAAAAAACATGCACTCGATCATCTACAAAAAAACACACAAATTCAAACTCAAGAAGAAAAACGTATAGACCCTATGATTATTCTTAAAGGGATATCAAAAAACATACCCGAATTCGAACTTACAAAAACTATTAAAGACCAAAACACCACCTTAACTAAACATACATTTACCGTTAAATTCATAGCTAACAACAGGAACACTTCACTATATAACGCGGTGCTTAACACAACACCCGCTGCCTGGAAGGCGTTTGCCGATCTAGGCAGAATCAACATAGGTATGCAGAAGGTCCACAGTGGCAACTTTTCACCGTTTAGGCAATGCCAAAACTGCCTAAACTTCGGCCACACAAAGAGCCGCTGCCCTGCATCCACACCAACATGCGCCAAGTGCTCCGCCCACCACCCTACCGCGAAGTGCAAGGCTGAGGTACACAATTGCACCAACTGCGCCGAACACAATAAACAATTCAACACCAACACTGGCACCCTACACCGCGCCGACTCAGACAAGTGCCCCAAAGTTACAGCCATGCGTGCCCGTGTTGAGGCAAAAATTAACTACATCTAAAACATACACAAAACACTAATTTCACATTAAACAACACAATAACACTTTGAATCACACTAACATTAACAGCGACCTCAACGCGCAGCACTTGCACTGGGGCATTTGTCTGCCTACACAAAACCTCTTACAAACTAAAAACTACTAAATTCACGACGACCTTTACACGCTGCACCTCCTCTAGGGCACTTATCTACACAAAAACACGAAAACATCCACAATCCTTACCCCTTACTAAACAACACAACCCTTCCCAAACCTTGTGTACTCTATCAAAGCTTACAAAGATATTTTATATTTTACATTCTCAATTAATAATTAATCTGCAAGTAATCCACCCTCACCCCTACAAAAATACAAAAATGTATAAAGTTACCTCTATTCATCTATTACCTTTTACACTTTTTACAACTATAATACCCACTATCTTAATATTTAACTTCGATTCAATTATTAACTACTACTAACCTATGTTAGACTATAATCTCAATTTTATTCATTCTATTTTTCATTAAACAATAAATTTAAATTCTACTTTACTGTGTTAATACCATTTGTACTAAACAAATTGATTTGATCCTAATTTTACTATAAGTTTAATTCTATTTCATTGTATATTTTTATTTTACTATATACCCCAACTTTATTTTACTGTACGACTGATACCATTTGTATAACTAGTTACAGATTACTTTATGATTATGTTTAATTTCTTTGTATAACATTAAACCCGTTTCATTGTTCAGTAGAGGACTTAAACTGGGCGGCCGAGGGAAGGTTACTTGTATCAAATAGCAGTACCGACCCTCACCAACCCCCGTCCTTATACAGGCCAGTATAGATATAACCTATCATATTGCTGCCATTTTTATTCTACTATAATTTTAATTAGACTTCACTGTATGATTAAATTTTTATTATATAGCAATTAACATAATAGTTATTATTTCGCTCATATTCTATTGTATAACGCGAGTGATAAATATAGAGTAAATTCAAATTATTCTATTATTTCGAACCCCTGATGATCCAGGAACCGTACAGGCCCTTAGATCACTAAAAAGGACCAATGTACATTTTGCGTTTCAGGCAAAAATGTTGATATTCGACATTATACCTTGATATTATTCTGATAAACTGCTTAAGTTCATACTACGTTAAAGAAAAAAAATATTGAACAATTTTTTTTTTTTATAGAGCGCATCGTGCAATCAGTCTTCTGACTATGAGCAGATGAGTTGTAGGATGATTTGCGGGTGGAGATATTCCTCATTAGGAATATCTACCATAATAATATTAGCTCAGTCAATGCTGCTGAGCTCCAGGGTTCTTCGTCTTTTGAGTCGGTTTATATACTCCGGTAGGGTGAGTTGAACAGCTAGATGGTTAGGATGATTTTCCAGCCTAGTCTTGTACTTCTGAGCGTATACTTTTATTTCCTCCTTGACTGTAGGTATGCCCAGGTGTTCATGTACTTCGGCGTTTCTTATGAACCAAGGCGCGTTGCTTATTTGTTTAAGGATGTAGTTTTGTGTTCTTTGAATTTTAGTTTTGTTAGAGTCACAAGTAGCTCCCCACAATTGTATCCCGTAGGTCCACACGGGTTTTATAACTGAATTGTAGATAAGGACTTTGTTGTCGATGGACAATTTCGAGTTTCTACCCAGTAACCAGTACAGCCTCTTATATTTAATGTTGATCTCACGCCGTTTTGTTTCGATGTGTTTTTGCTATGTCAATCTACGATCCAAGTGCAGTCCAAGATATTTAACTGTGTCACTCTGAGGCAGTTCCTTTCCTCCTAGGTTTACAGGGGGGCATGTTTTTCTTCGCAGTGTGAATGTCACTTGTACTGATTTGCTAGTGTTCACCCTAATTCTCCACCTATCGAACCAGTTGCTTATTTCATTTAGGCTTCGCTGCAGCTTTAACGTGGCTTCTTCGGGTTGTTACTCGTAGGATTGCCGTATCGTCTGCATAGGTTGCAATGTTGACTTCAGAGGTACGCGGTAGATCTGAGGTAAATATGGTGTACAGCACTGGGCCAAGTACAGAGCCTTGAGGTACCCCTGCAAGTATATCATGAAAACCTGATGTACAATCCATCTCTTTCACTTGGAATATTCTATCGGTGATATAAGACTCTAGGATTCCATAGAAAGTATGAGACAGAAGTGACTTGATCTTGCATAAGAGCCCCTTGTGCCATACCCGATCGAATGCTTGTTGAACGTCCAGAAAAGCTGAGGAGCAGTACTCTTTTAGCTCAAGGCTATTGCTTATGAATTTACACACCCTGTGAGTTTGTTCGATAGTACCGTGTTGTACTCTAAACCCGAATTGGTGATCTGGAATTATAGAATTTTCATGCATAGCTTGCGAGAGCCGTCATAGTAGTACCTTCTCCAGTACTTTAGAGACGATCGGGAGAAGACTTATAGGTCGGTAAGATGAGACGTCATGTGGCGATTTCCCGGGCTTATGGACCATAATCACCTGAGAGACCTTCCATAGCGCTGGAAAGTATCCAACACTTATAATCCGGTTGAATAGGGTCGTCAAGTAAGTTATAGCTTTACGGGGTAATTCGGAGAGAACCTTTTTGTCAATGAGGTCAAAACCTGGTGCCTTCCTATTCTCCATTTGTTGTATGGTTCATTGTACCTCCCTTGGTGTTACTATCTTCAAGGGCAAATGCAATTGGAAATCCTGCTGGAGAATGTCATCTATTTCTGCCTCATCTGACCCAGGAGTGGCTTCATTTGGAACAAATACTTTAGCCAGATGGTTAGCAAAAGCATTTGCTTTTTCTAGTTTAGACCTAGCCCACTTGTTTCTATCTAGCCTTATAGGTGGTTTAGGGTTTGCGGGTTGATTCAGATTTTTGCATGCCTTCCAGAGAGAGTAGTCGGTGTCTGTTGTAGCTGTTAACGACATCAGGTTTTCCTCAATAGTAGCATCTAGATTTTCTTTTATAGCCTGTTTAAGGTGTTTAGCGTAGATGTTTAGTGCTGTTTTGTCATCGGGATGACGACTATTGTGCCACACTCTACGTAATCTTCTCTTCTCCAGGATCATGTCCTGAATTTCGTGGGGTACAGAGAGCCGTCTGGTCTTTTTCTGAGCCACTCCCTCAGAACTCCTCCAGCATGAATCCTGCACCACTCTCGTAAATGCCAAGACTGCACTATCTATTTCCTCCTTACTCTTTAGTGAAATCCGTAATTGTAGGGCGTCCTCTACGAGGTCACGAAACATTTGCCAATTTGTTCTCCTGTTATACAGTTTTGGTTTCCGTTGGCACTCCAGAATATTGGTACTAACAGTTAATATCACCAGGATGTGAGCTGAAGAACCATCGAGAAAGCCTGATGGCACATTGATATGTGATAAAAGAGTCGTGAGAGACCCTTCATTAAAAAGAAGTCCAGGACATCAGGCAATCTTCCAGGGTCACTTGGCCAGTGGGTAGGCTCGGGGGTGGAGATTGTTGTTAAGTGGTTTTTATCAACGCATTTTTTAAGTTCTCTACCACGCGTGGTAATCAATCTCGACCCCCAGTGCAGATGCTTTGAATTCCAATCTCCACCTGCTATGAAGCGTGGACCCAGACTGTTAATATATGTGGTGAAGTGTTCCTCAGTTATAGCGTGCTTTGCAGGACAATAAACCGAGGAGATACAGAAATTCCCATTTTCATCCTGGATATTGAGGTGGCTTGAATGGATTCTGATCGAAATTGTGGAAGTTCATAGTGTTCAATGGAGGTTCTAATTATAATAGCTGTGCCTCCATGTGCAGTGCCATCGGGATGATTTGTTGAATACACATTATAGTTATGTACATGTATTTGGCTGTTGGATGTAAGGTGCGGCTCAGAAATAAGCAAGGCATCCAGATTATAAATTTTTAGCAGGTTTTCATCTTCATTTTTCTTAGGCGTTAGACCATCTATGTTCCAAGTAGCAATTTTGAGTTTATTCATTTTTGTGGTAATTTATTAACTAGTATAGAGACCCTTCTCTCTTACAGCTGTAATAAGTTTTTTGTAAACATCTATATCTTCACTAATAATTCTTATTTGTGTTTTGTTTACTATCTTAAACTTGAATATGGTTCTTTCAGTTGCAATTTCGAGAAATTCCGTCAGTTTATTGACATCTTGGATTCCATATAGTATGATTGGAGGTGGATTGCTGGGCTTCTTTCCTTTTGTTTGGGTAGGTTCTTCAATGAGAGTTAGTCCATCGAACATGTTCTAAGTAGCTACACTTTCGGGGGACTGATTTGAGAGGTTCCTTTTTTTATTCGGCTTTCTATTTACTGGAGCCGTTTGCCATTCAGGCAAGTTGGTATCGCAGGCTACTTCTTGAGAGCTTTGTGGTTCCTTCTCCTCATTTCTGGTAGGCAGTAAACTCCCAACCGATACACTTCTCTGTCTTATAAACAGGCTTGGATGCAGGCTTGTTGTACATATTTCTTACTTTGACCAGTAGCATTCACTGTCACGAGGGCCTGGGTACCCACCCTCGTGGCGTCATCGGTAGCCAATTTCACACTTTCAGCTACGTCCATTCTGCATCTCGATGAGTTGCTAATACAATTATTAAGAACAAAAAGTTACACTCTTAATATAGGTTTAAGTTTGTCCCTAAAAATACAATCCTTTAGAAAAAACCACCATGCAAACCCGAACTTTTGTTGAACTAAAAATTTTTGCAATTAAAATCAGTGTTATATTTTATTCAAATGAACAAACTGTACACGTACACGTACGTTTGGACCTTTTTTTGTCCTTTTTTCTTTGGCATGACACAGAAGCTCGTAACAAGTTAGAGAAATTTCTAACTAGAATAAAGCAAATTGATATTGAATAATTGAATTTTAAAGTTCAGATACATAAATGATAAAACTAATTTAATTTAAAAAAATATTATAGATCACAGAGTACATTACTAGAACTATTAGAGTGAACAGTCAACAGATGAGATAATGAACAAATTAATTCGCTGAAATATCGACTTCTATTCGGAGGAAAATACTTGAGACAATACTGTTGTAAAAAAAAAACAATTTTCTTGTGGATGTCGACTTTTTATAGTACCTAATAGTTTTAAAATATCTTTGGTTTATACGTTAAAAAATAGAATATACTTATTTTTATGGCTCTTACAACAGTCTATTTTCCTTTTTAAGTTAAACAAATTTCATTCATTGATGATCGTCATGACGTATTTTCGGTAACTTAAAGTAATAATGATTACTACATTAGCATCGTTTCGTACAAAGGTGTAAAATGACCCCGCGGAATCCGCGGTGCGTTTTTGAAAAGAAAGTTACAGAATAGCAAAACTGGCCTTCTCCAGATTATTTAATTGCCAAAAGAAAAGATAAGATCATTGCTACGTAATATGTAGTTTAGAGAATTCGTACAGTGGACTAGTTGTGGAGGACTAGAGAAAGGTGCAAGAAGAAAAGTGTGAGGGGCTTGTGCTGAGAGCGCGGAGCACCTGCACTTGATTCCATTAAATATCGGAACACTTTGTCGAAAAAAACATTTTATGGATTTCACCTTATTATTTGACCTTATAGAGGCAACGTTTTCTTTTTCAAATCAAAAATTCTGAATTAAATGAAAAATGCAAAATTTCGAATCTATTTTGCTTTAAATTGATATATTATTTGTAGTTAAGGCGACGCGGAGATCATAATTATTAAAGAAGTACCTACCGTATCTGGTACATGTGCAGTAAATAAGTTGTAAAATAAAACAATTTTAATATAAACATTATTTTATTAATTAGGCTGCGGTCGGTACTTTAGGTTTTCGCTTACTTTTATTTAAATCATCGTAAATGTCTTCTAAACACCTCGATTTTGTCTCAGGCACATAGAATATCACATATATAGACATAAATATACAAAAAAAGCCAAAAAAATAGAAAGCAGCGTGAATGCCGATTGAATTCACCAGAGGTTTGAATATTAAAAGTTGGAAGAAGTCGGCAAGCGATGCAGTGGCCATCGTTGTTGCCATAACTGTTCCACGGTACTGTAATGAAATAATTAAAAAAAACGTAGTTTTTGATATATTAATTTCGACAATCAAGTAGTTTCTGAATAAATCTGACGTTTTCAATGGAAAAACCAGTTAGATAGAAACTACAAAAAGATGTACTAACCTTGAAAGAAAATATTTCGCCAGTAATAACAAGCGACATTGGCGCTAGTCCTGATGAGTCACAAAAGATGCAAAGGCAAAGCGTGAGTATTGGCAACCAGTTTGGCAGATATAGCTCGTAGTCTTTGGCCAGGAACCAAGAAGCAAGGACACACATACTTATCCCGGAGACCAGTGATGTTGTGAAAAGTATAAACTGTAATATTAAAAATAAATAATTTGTTAGTTTTAAGTAATAGACAGGCTATTGTCAGGCATCGCTGAAAAAGTGAACTGAAGTGTTCAGTGAATCACAGTTTAAAATTAATCATACAAAATACCTTTCTGCCGGCCTTCTCGACGATAATAGAGGCCAGTGCCGAGCCCGCTACTTGTACGGCACCCAACATCATTGCCTGCTGATTGGGACTGAGAATTAACCCATTTTCTTTGGAGGCTATTGCAAATATTTCACCAGCAAAGTTCATGACAGGTACAGCACCGCACACCTCGCGAGCTAAGGTGACGACCATTGCTAAGCGGAAAGCTCGCGACAAGGTTCTATCTTTGACTGAAAAATAATTCAACTACATTATAAAAAATATATTATTAAATCGCAATTTGCAATTCGCAAAGTGAACAAATACATAACATATGGACGGGTTGAAATTACCCAAAGCGATTTTTTTGTAAATGTGTTTGTCAGTGAGCAGTGAGACAGTCATAAATTTAAAAAAAATGAAATCTTGTAATGTTATTAAAAATTTCTTACAAATTGCTTTTAACAAAAAGTTATTGGCTCCTTCATCATTTTTCTGTTCTTTTTGCAATGATTGAAGTTCTGTTGTAACGGACGAATCGGTAACTTTTTTACATCGCAACCAAGCCATCACTCTGACTGCTTCCTGAGAAGGTAAAGAGACATGACCCTTTTTTAACGAATCGAATATGCCTGAGGTAAGAGCAGCAATCTTAAATAATATAGACTGCTACGTTTTATACATGCTTACAAATATGTGATATATAAATTAAACGTCTGCAAGAGAATCGTGGACGAAACAGGGAAGGGAAATAAAGATAATTATCCCGGCGATTTAGATATCCGAGTTAATTTACCTTAATTTAGCATCAAGGGCTTATTTTATTTATTCCGCATATTAAATATGTCGTCTTAAATTAAAGTATCTTTAACATTACCTCAGTTTTTCCTTTTTTAACTAAATACGAAGGGCTCTCCGGCATCATCATAAATAACACTAGATGGCAGGTCGGTATAAAAAGACACATCCATAGAATTGTCCGATACTTTAAAATATCACCGATGATATAAAGAAACAGGTTGCCTGTCGTGTGCGATACAACTATCTGAAATTTTATTTGCAGCCGTTTCATTTTATTTTATTAAATATACGACTTAATAAATTTAATTTATTTATTTATCCTTACAAGACAACCTAAAGCTCCTCGTATACTGTCATCACTAATTTCCTTCGTATAAATTGGACAGGTGACGTAAGCACCCGCCATGGCGATTCCCACGAAAGCTCGGGCCAAGATGAGGGCCCACACTTCGGTGGAAAACAAGAGCGTCACCCAAGTTGCCTGTAAAGTTATTCAAGCATCGATCAGCTGATAATATAATAATATGATGTGTATCGTAAATAAGTCATAACCTTTTTAACCTTTGACTGATAATATTAAATCTTTGTACAAATTTATCACTAAAGTTAACATATAAAATTGACATGAAGCTTATTTCTAGAAGTTTTTTGTAAAAATTATGAATATATACGTGTTATACACGTATGTTTCATGGTATGGCATAGAAATATTGTTTAGTAATAGATTAAATCCTAAAATAACGGACGTGATATTACTTTTAGAAGAAAATCTTTTGAAAAATCTCATAGTTTCATAGCATAGGCTACATGTATGTATAAACACGACATTATTTGAAGTTTTCACTTACGACACAGGAAGCGGATATAAGCATAAGGGTTTTCTTTCTTCCAATCCAATCTCCTAATAACGCCATCATGAAATCACCTGGAATGCAAACTAGATAAGCCACTGCGGCCATTGTTGAAACCTGGAAGTTCAGAATCATACACTGCAATTTGAAGTTGCTTTCATCAACACAATAAATACAGGCACTTTAGCTATTTCCGATATTTATCTCATAAAATTAGATCATGTATCAAATGTTACCTCTAAATCAGTAAGAGGCGTCCCTCTGGGAGACTTCTCTGACTGCAAGAGCAAAGTCATTGGGGACATCCATCCTATGCTCGCGCCATATGCAAATACTGGTACATTTACTATAAAAAAAACCAGAGTTTTTCTCAACTTCATTGGTACATCATACGAAAATATCATTTCATTTATACCTTCTCTACTACTTTTTTTTACTACGAAATGATAAATGAAACGATAATTAATCAATTTATATACGGGGTTATGAAAAGAATTAATAGTTTAGCCCATACAATATTTTATACAACCCCATCCCGATAATAAAAACACTAGTAGGATGTGTTATCGGATCCAGTACGAACACTACTAAGTAGAAGCCGCGCGGCAAAAGAGAATGGTAAACTTTAAAAACGATGGTAAACAAATCTACTAAAAATGAAATAATATAAACTTACTTAAAAAAGCACATATGAACTGATTAACTCTACTCCCTTCACTAAATAATCTGTAGAACTTCATTTGCACTTGAACTTTTTCACTAATATCACAGTTTACATTAAATTGATTGTGATTGTTGAAACAGTCAGGGAACACATATTAGAGACAGCTTCGTTAAGGAATGACACTTCGCAATGATGTTTTAGAAGTGAAATGTTTTTAATAGATCTCTAAAAGGCGTGTACACAATGTTTATTTATTTATTTTATTGTTCTGCATGTAATCCCTCATTAAGGCCGAGTTTATTTAGTTCTACATCCTTGTCAATTATCAATATTAAATTTCCTGTGAGATGTTTGTATTTTAAATAATATTTTTTTGCATATTTTTTACCATATTTCTAATTGCAATAGTAGATATAACGAATCGGTATGGTAAAATATCTAAGTAAATATTTATTAACGTTTTACCGAATGGGTAATGCTGATAAGTAATTAGTTATGTCCGATAAAGGAAAATATACGTGAAAAACGTAAAATTATTAGAACATGTGTCAGTTTATTATATTTACAATACATTATTATGTAAACTTTACAGAAATATGACTTTTCACAATATAACTACATTAACACAATTTTCTTAATGTGATTTTCAATTTATTTTATTGATAGTGTTCGTCAATGTTACATTATTTATAAAAACTACGTTGTCTCAATCTCACCATCAAACACTTACGGCTTTCGGTTATGGACAATGTAATCATCACTTTAAAAGGCGAGTACAGACATAACAATTTACGCTTAAGCAAATACATTATAATATGTAAAGTTAGTTCATACTGTGGTTTGTGATATAATACATCAAGTTATATTCAATAAATAACCCTTAAACTAAACACTTAAAATTCACTCAATGACATATCAGATCAATCTAAACACAAATCATGTTTTATATTACAAAAAGCCTAGCAAAGTCTTACTCATCACTGTTTTGTTATATTTAATTGGAGTGTGTGTAGTGTAAAAATTGAAACTAAGTAATTAAAGTAATGTCGTGAGTTCTTTTCTTACAAAATAAAGTAGATCCAGACTCCATTACCCCATTACCCCATTACCCCTACAACCTCACAACCTTTACCGCTTTATAATATTAGTTATAGATTAGTTTTAGTTTCTTCACAAATAAATCCTTCATTTATATTTCCATTGATATTCGTATTCTCAATTTCAACAGGTCCTGATGGTTTAACTAAGGGTTTTTCATATTTCACACTAACTGAAATAAAAATTATATTATTAGATAATGTATAGGTACCACATTATTTATTCTACAAATATTATTAAATATTACAGGCTAGAAGTGAGTGCTTTTAATATTTAATGATTATTAATTTTATCAGTACATCGTTTATAATATTAAGTCATAGCATAAATTGTGATTTTATTATTAAAAGTAAAAGTAGAAGTCAATCAATGTACTGTGTGTAAGTTATATTTATATGACATTAAAATAATAAATAGAAAAGCTAAAATACACTGTTTACTTTCATTTACAACCTCATAACTGGTATTACACGCGCTTGTTATCTGATTATGTACAGTTTTTTTAAAGACAATTCACACCAATTGACCTAGCCCCTTGCTAAGCTGGTGAAGCTTGTGTTATGGGGACTAGGCAACGGAAATACATACATATTATAGATAGATAGACGTATAAATACATATTTAAACACCCAAGACCTAAGCACAACACCAAATGCTCATCACATCGATGTTCGTCTCAGCCGGGGATCGAACCCGGGACCCATGGATTCGCAGTCAGGGGTACTAACCACTAGACCAATGAGTCGTCAAGTCGTCAGTCGTATGATAACAATAAGTACATATTATTGTTGTGCACAGTGCGAATAGAAAAATGCATCATTATAGGGACTTAGAAAGTAAAAGGTGCCATTTTAGGAGGTCTAATTGAAATAAATGATTTGATTTGACTTTAAAGAGATATTATTTTTTAAATCGTTATGAGTCAATTGAATTAGTTACAATGATTATACTCTAAATAGATGATTGTGTAATGTATTTTGCATTAGTATTTCGGATATACAATTGTTTTTGAACCTAAGATTACCTTTATCCAGCATATTCTTGAACAGTATAGAAAATGGTATTTCAATGAGTCCAGTTAAAAGAATCGAAACCACTACTGTAACGACCGAGCACGAGAAGAATATGAATACCTGAAAATAAGAAAAGGTAAGTAAAGGTAATAAATAACTCACTGTGCAAACTGTTTAAACTGCATATAGACCCCAGGAGGCATGATGCAGCAGAAATAATAACTGCTTTAATTACAATAAGTACCTATTCGTGTGTCGATGACTAGTTTTGTTATGTATGAATTGACTAATTCTAAGTTTAATCTTTTGATAATATATTATTTAACTTACGGTCGTTCCAACAGTAAAGTAATGATTTTCAACCATAGAAGAAAAATAAGCGATTATAACTGAGAAATGGACTATATACATTGCATAAGATATTCGAGATACTATCTTCCACAAATCCATGCTCAGGAATTGATTAATGGGACCTGAAATGTACATATCACTTGTAGTGGAGATATAATTACAAGATAATCTTAATGTTAATATAAATTATAGAAGTTATAGAAGTTATTTAAAATTTACAACACCACATATTATATAAAAGAAGATTTCTAAGTACATACTTAGGAGAAGGCTGAAAAGGTTATAATAACATGTGACAAGCTTCTATCAATATCTAATATCAACCTATGATAATCAAAGGAAAACTAACAATTCCAACATTAACAAAATAACTCTCTGTGTATCATCAGAAAATAACTACCAACATCAAACAAGTAAAAAAACTCTTCTTACCAAGAAAACTAAGACACAAACTTCACAATCGGTAGTAACAGTCTCCTAGCAACTCTGAAGGAGTAGCGTTTTCAGGTGAACATAAAGTCCTACACATCCAAGAACAGAAAAACATTCGGAAACAACTAACAACAACAAGCATAGTATACAATAAATCATGAAAAGCAACATTTTATTTCCTAAACCAGTGGTCATCGCAGGAAATTAGGCCACCGCCCTCAATTGACAAATAAAACCCCCAATATCCACCAAAATCTGCCAAAACGTAATAGGACTCTCAGAAGTTTGAAGTAACATTTATGAATAACGTGATAATATTTTCTGCCACATGAAACCAACAAAAAGGCTACATGGAGTAGGGTTTCTGGTAAAAAAAAAACACTTCTAGGGGTATAGTTAACTTAAAGTAATATCAGTGGCGCTACACCAGCTCAAATTGTACAAGTATATGCACCGACTAAGGATTCAAGTATGGAAAACCTCTAAAAAGTTTACAACCATTTACTCCGAACATTTGACTAACGCTGAAGCTCGTGAACTAGTGCAGTGTTGGCCTAGTGGCTTCAGCGTGCAACTCTCATACCTGAGGTCGTAGGTTCGACCCCCGGCTGTGCACCAATGGACTTTCTTTCTATGTGCGCATTTAACATTTGCTCGAACGGTGAAGGAAAACATCGAGGAAACCGACATGTTTTAGTGTGTAGTGTAGCGCCACTGATGTTTAAAGCTCGTGAACTAGCAGAGCCGGGTTTCGCCCCGGTTTTAGCACAACAGATCACCTTCATACGATTTAACAGGATATTGCCAAATATTCGTTGTTTAATAGGCCATTATATCTAGCATTGATCGCTTTCAGCACTATACTTTAAGCCACATATCAATTTCGGAAGCTTTAAAAGAAGCAATGCTCGATAAGAATACATTACGTGACTACCAAAAATATACAAGAAATACACAAGCGAAATTAAATTAAAAACCCCGACGAGAAGAGTTCAAAGTAACAAGAAGCGTCAGATATCTTCAAAAAACTTAACTAGAAGAATAAGGAAATACAAATTGATGATATCTGCAAGAGTCATTTGGCTTTTGCGGATGATACAGCTTTGTTCGGTAAAAAAGCTAACAACCTACAAGTAATGATAGAATCTCTAAACCAATAATTTGCACAAGTCGGTTTCAACCTGATTATAAACAAAACCCAATTATGACAAATACAAACAGTTGTCTATAAAATACAAGAAATTGATATAGAAAATGATTAAGACTATTCAGGTATGATGAGGTCAGACACTTGTTTACCCATATTATATATATAAGAACTCAAACAGTCGTTTAGGAAATCAAACAATCAAGAGAAGTCATTGTAACTGACTGAGAGTTTTTAACGCCGGCTTTTTCTCTAGGCCTACACCCACGGTCTTCTTTGCCGATGCGTAGGGATGTCTACCCATACAAATTTAATGACGTGGAATAAGTGATACCTGTATCTTATGTTACAAAATTAACATATTTTTTTTATTTTCATACCTGGAAAAAGTTTTAGACTATAAAAGAAATTCTAAAAGGCGACTCTAATTTAATACAAAAAAAAAGTTGGATGTCAAACATGTACCTAAACCAACAAAGTTCGAAGAATTAAGATAACGCAAAAAGCCATGGAAATAAGTTTTCTAAAAAATCTAAAGAAAGAGAAAATAGGTAGTAAAATTATTAGGCAGGGACAAGAAAAGACTGAGGTGGGCAGGTCACTTCAGCAGACTCACAGACCAACGATGGACCCTAAGAAAGACTCGCTATATTAGACCCTAGTTAGGGAAAAGTAGCGTTGACAGACCACGTTAAAGGTGGGCAAATGATTACGTGGATGTGGCCTGCAGAAAGTGTCTGACCCAAACCAAAAACAGGGAAACATTGGAAGGGAATTGAGGAGGCACTTAATGAAGATGGGATCTTATCATAATTATTAACAGTATTAACATAATCTAAGTTAATTTATAGTACTACTAAATCATAAAATATAATCTATTTTAGATTAAAAGGCTTATTATTATTGTGTTTATTAAAATGCTAAAATCACTTCTTTGGTTAAAGCGTAATAAATGTATTTGAATGAGTTCTACATACCACCATATCCATTCACGCACATAAATATAATCCATCCTAAAGCCGCAGACCAAATAGATCGAGTAAATGAGTCAATTATGTTACCGACATAGCTATTAGTCCAGTCTTTGCTATAAGCACTGTAGTCCTTTAAGAAGTTGACGTAAATTACCAAGCACAACAATACAAGGCTAATAGTCGTCATACATGCGCTGAGAATCTAAAAAAAATTAAATAAAAATACTTGCACGACCAGTGTAAAGAGTATTCCTAGTGCTATCAACCGCATAGCATTGAATGTTGCTAGGTTGCACCGTCATTGAGATGCAGAAGAAAAAGTCGTCGGGGACAGGACACAGGGTTTGAGGTCGAAACATGCCCCGTCTATGTCAACCTTAATGCTCCGTTCTGCCAGAAACTTGAGAGTTCAGCACATTTGCATTATTTCTCGCAAAGCCCATAGGCTGAGGCTTTATGTCGCACCCGATCGAAGGTTTTTTCTAAATCCAAAGTAAGCCTCTGTCTACATAGATAGACAAAGGCAACTGAGTCTAAGAGGTACATGATAGTCACCAGCTGAGCCACCACGACGAAAGCCGTATTGACAAACGCTAATTAGCTGGCGGCCCTCTAAATACCTCAGAAGATGGCCATTGATATTGGTTTCCATTATTTAGAAGAGGTTTTGGCTATTAGGTTATTGAGTAGTTGTACTGGTCAGAGCTAACTTTTTTGGGATTGTGTGTATATAAGCGATCTCTTAGTAGTTTGAGACAGTGAGCGTGCGTGCGAGCGTGAACAGGTCGAGTTGGATGCTAAGAGACAGCCAAAATATTGGCTCCTCGTTGTGCAGGGTTCGCACCCATTTTCGCCGCGAAACCGCCTAATAAGCACATTTAAACCAGAGATAAGACTTGCCGCCGATTGGCACCGCAAATAATTGAATATAACGTTCTATGCGATGTTCAACTTCAAGACTAAAAAATACTCCTTAGTATGGTAATTATTATATACTTGCAAGGAAGATTGCTCGACACATTATTGTTCGTTAAGTTAAATGTTAAATTACATAATAAATTTGAAATCAGATACGTACCGTAGACATATTGAACTCTCTATCTCTATAAATACGGAGACAGTATCCGACTATCATACCCATGAAAAATGGTGGTGAACGGACCAATATATTTACGTAGTAATACACAAAATAATTTCTATGGACATCTGTTAGAAATATGTATGTTGTAGCAATAGCTATAGACACCAAGAAACCTATGATGAGGGCTGTCCAAGATGTTCTTTTACTGCCTCGAAGTAACCAAAATAGAACTAATGGTGAAATAACATGAAGCTGTACATCGATTGCTAAGTACCAGGTAACTGGGAGACACTGGAAAGAAACATAAAGTTTAATGAAGTACAACGACAGAATTGAAGCTGAAACGCCAATACAAAACGCCATTATCTATTTTTATTATAACTTGCATTTCATTAAAATCTTCCTGAATAATAAAGTCTTTTCATACTGAATCAACGTAAAATAGTGTACAAAGTGCCTTTTTACAACAGTTCACAAGCAATTTGATAAAAGTTTCAGAATCTTTGTTCAGAATATTTGGAAACAATTATCTCTAGTAAATAAATACAATCTTAATTTAGTTACTTCTGCCAATGGATTAACGAAGTTCTGAAGATGTAGCAGTGTGCTCCACCAAAGAGCTCTGCAGGTGTGTACACCGTTCCCCGCGACATGCCAAAATGCGCCGTCTGATATTCTGTTATAGAGCGATGCCTCGAAGAGAACCATTAATGCCAACACGGGAAACATACGCAATAATCTGCTCAAGTAGAAAACGTGTAGGTTTTTCAGTAGTCCCACTGTAAATTAAACTATGTTTTGAAATGATTTCTTCATTTACGATGTCTTCTCTGGCGGAATAAAACACATTATAAAATATAGTATCTAGGATTCCTTTTTTAGTTTTAAGAGTAGGGTACCTATAGTAGGACCTATTAGGTATATTAGGAAATATGTAATCTATATGGTTTGGTTTAAGCGCCAAGGAAAAACAAACAATTTACTTTGCCAATACTTAGGAATCAGGATAGATGTGGTTTTTAATTGTAACGATAAACCATTAATAGATTGAGGTAGCGGAAAATTTTTTCTATCAGATAATATAATAAACTACGTATGTTTATGAATCACAGAAAAACACATTAATCGGTATTGATTTACGATAAGATTTAATCTCCGTTTATCTGTGTATTTTGTGATAGTTATTTCAATTCTATATATTTTATTAACATCCACTTAATGCTTATCAAAACTTTGTAGAATCATACTTTTATAATGAACTTTCATTAACACATTTACATAAGTGTAAATTGACTCAATAACGCGAGTTTATTAACACAAAGGAAAAATATTTTTCAAAAAAACTTACGGCTAGTATATTTAGCCATACTGGTGTAAACCAGTAGTAGACCACTGATCATAAAGAACGTGTCGACTGTGATGGGTGCGCCCGTTATCCACATCGACCTTAACGAAGATTGCCACTGTAAACACATTGTACAATGGATGATTTTTATTATATCATATATTGGTTATAATTTTGTTCGCTATTCTCTGGTAGTTGCCTGTCGAAAAGTTAGCAAAAGGCCTGCGGAAGACAATTTTGCATGTTCGATGATTATAATGATGTCTAGGCGAGCAATGTTGGCCTAGTGGCTTCAGTGTGCGACTCAAGCTGCTGTGCACCATGAGAGTCTTTCTGTGTATGTGCGCATTTAACCCTCTCTCATACGGTCAATGAATAGATTGCAAGGAAACCGGCACGCCTTGAACCCAAAACGAGAACGTGTGTGTGAGCTCACCAGAAGGCTCACCTACTTGCCTATTTGAAAAAACAAATGATCACTAAACATATACAGAAATCTGAGACCCTAACTGTAAGGTAGGCCTGTAACGCTGTAGTACGACTGCTTTTTCTATTCGATGGTGATTGTACGTACCTCTTGAATATCAAGGAAGTTAAACGCAGTTATAAGATTTCCTACAAAAGCATGTCCAATAACCACCCAAAAAATGGCGATTGCTCGTATACCATCGAGACATTGCAATGATCCAGGTTTATTTGACAACTTCAATAACATAGACAAATTTGTAAAGGCAGAAAAAATGCGAAATATATTCTCGTCCATAAAATCTGAAAAGAACGCTTTTCTTAACTTACGTTCATCAAATAAAATTTAAATTAAACGTGAAGCTATTTTTCATAGATTTTTAGTTTTTATGATTATAGACAAATTAGAATATGTTCCTGCATTAATTAATAAATATGTAATATATTATGTTTAGGTTGGTCAATGGTTTGGTCAAATCACCAATTGATTGTTCAGAAGCGCGGCATCAAATTTATAGTAGCCCTGGTGAGCCGCCAACCTTCGAAAAGAGATGACACGGCTACTGTTATGATAAAGTTACTGAATTTATAGGTATTATATTATATTTGCTCTAACATCAACATTTACGAGGTATTTCTGTAGAAACTTCAGTATTTAAATTATAAATAAATAATTTCAGTAGTTTACATACCTTTTTTTAAGTAAAAAAGATGATGTAAGTCATACGTAGTACTTAAAAATATAATTAATCCAAATGCTGAAAAAACAACGCTGAAAACAAGAATTACGGACTTAATAATATATAATTATAAACTTATATCTATATATCTCGAGGCAACTACAACGTCCAAATATAAAATAATGCCTTTTATGAATTTAATATATTTAGATTTTATAAGTTCTCTGGATTCTTGTATTTAGACTGTGGTAGTAGTGTGTAATTTAGTATTTGTTGGCGGATAATACATGACGGTAATGTTTACTTTCACTTACATGGCTATATAATCTGCAGTGACCCAATGCTTGTCGTCGGGAAGTCGACATAAATTGTCCTCATATTGAATACCTAGGGTGGTGATGTTCCCCACTTTATTAATTACCTCTCTCGTGGTGCAAGCTTTTGGAATACATAAAGCTAATTGAACCACTACGTTTAGAGCTCTGTCTCGGGCCGACCTATTATAAAATAATTATAAATAAAAAAACTACGCCGCATTAAAACTTGGCAGACCTCATACCCGAACCAAATATAATGTACCTCGTTGATTTCGTTACATAGGGAGCATATGACAAATATTTGCCAAGGCTGAATTGATCAATCGTGGATTGATTAAAATAGTTGTGTTTGTTTTGTGTCACAAGGTCCATTAAAGTTGACCGTTTAAGAGGGTTTTGTGGCGATATGGTTGTATCAAACGATATATTGGGCGTCAGAGGGATATTTATTGTGCAGTACTTTCCTTCTATATCCATATTTTCAACGCGCTTTCTTATACCGAGGCATTGGTAATAATTACCCATGTCCCGAAAATTGCCTCCAAAAATTCCTTTTGGAATTCTTGCCCCTGCATCGAGAACTGAAATTGAAAAATTCCACAATGGTCGTTCAGAACCTTATTAAAATTCATTTATCGTGACATGCTCTATGTTAATGCGTGAAATAACAGTTTAATAAATTAAATACTTACAATTTAAAAGCAGTGTTCCATCGTTATCCCTCAGGTAATTTAATTGTTTCTCACACAATTCTGAATTTAGTACTCTTTTATGCAATTCTCTATCAAATGGGTAGAAGTTGGGAAACTTTTTCAAATCCAGCCAAGCCGTTGCGTAAGAAATACTTAACAATAAAACTAAAGACTTCATTTTAGAGGGTGAGATGTCTTTTGAATTAGATATTAATTGGAACTCGATATTTATGATTTCTCACCATTCTAGCTTTATCTTATCAGAAATTATTGTCGATTACTAAACTAGTGGCCACCTGAAAGATAACAATCTTAGAGCCATGACTATGCGAACACAGGTTCGTACTTATACGATCTACTTTTGCATTGTAAAAGTAGAGTTAAGTTGTGAAGTGCTTGAAGAGATAGAATTTTGGCAGTTTTTTTGTTCCTTTATAGCCGCACCAACAAGGCCACACATAAGAAAAAAGAAGGAAAGAAACAAGTAACACAAACTAGAACCGATGAGTGGCCTCTGTAATAAGTGGGAATAACGTGAACAAACATAATGCTTATAATATTATGTAATTAAAAAAATTACATAGATAAAAGTAAGAGTAAGAATGCAATACCTGTAATCAAGTTAGCGGTCCGAAAAAATATTAAGATCGTTTGGGCCCTGGAGCCAACTCATGGAGCATAAAACCCTAAGTTGGAGCGGTTCTTGGAGATGATGTAGGCTTTAAGTTGTAGTATCTTAGACGATTGCTCTACTCTTTATAAAACAAGTGCAAAGGAAAACCCCTTTGCACGCCCCCATGCATGCATTGAATAGGGATTTCGCACAGGAGCATTGTATACAGCCATATTAGTGCTGGATTTCTTTGCAGTTGCGTAAGACGAAACCCAGAGTTTTGAAGCCTTTCCTGGTAAAGCTATCGATATGTAAGAGGAAGTTTACTGAACAAGGTACTGTCAGGTCATGAAAGTGATTAACTTTGCTTAGAGCACAGCTGTTGATGTAGTGTGTCCATTGTCATTGGGCAAAATATAAACCAAACCCAAGAGCTCTTCCGTGCACTTCACTACCGGTCGCAGGACTCATTGATTCATTATTATCAAAGACAACGGTAGTGTTAATTTTGGCAGTTTTAAGGATAAGTATGATATCTTCAAGAATAGGGAGGGGCCGATGTCTCTGATGAACTTAAATCGACGAACAACATCTTAGATGCAATCTTAACAAAACTTACTTTTACAAAACCGACTATTTGGTTTTCATAAGTAAATTAATACATTCACAATAACGATAATACTGCCGTACTTCGTGTCATGTGCCACGTGTAAATAAACAAGAGTCAACTAATCTGCCCCTCTCTACTTACCACTAATTTAAAATTACATAACGCATATTATTTTATCATTGTGTGGCGACCGTCTTTAAAGGAATTTGTAACTACAATCAAAACCGTTTGCGACGACATCTTTTAGATCAACATAGCGGTTATATTGACCAAAATCAAAGGTCCCGGCTGAATTCTATTAGAGCACCTTATAAAAAAATAACAGATGATTTAAAGAAATACTTTTTTACCGGTTTGAAGCTATGTATTATTATAAATTTACAATTATTTTACATAATTTTAAATTTATCCGACGTTTCGCGTGCTTTACAGCCTGAGTGGTCACGGTGACAAGTGTTTTCTTTAACATTTAAAGACAAGTTATGTCAATAAAAAACTAAAACAGATGATGTTAATGTAGAAAAATGATAATTATATGTAGTGCCATCCTAGTGCTTTTGATTGATTTGAGAACTGGCAGTAAGTGTAGAATTAGAAGCATTTAATGTATATTTCTTTTTTGACTTTCATAAGTGTACATTGTGTTACCTATATGAATAAATGATTTTTGACTTTTGACTTTTGACTTTTTGAACAAACTATGTAAACTCGAATACAAATACATATTGTGTTATAAGTGGCTTCCACGATGTAACATTATCATTACATATGAATAAAATTTTGTAAAAGCGTCATCTAGTGACAGTCTATCGAAGCTATACTTGAGCGCTTCGCTTTGCTTTAGATAAGTTGTTTATAACGACTACAGATGGCGGTAACATTCGTCTAGTCATCTGAACATCTCAACAGAAGTCCTAGTTCATCTGTGAACTACACTATTCTCGGTGAATTTCGTTATTATAATAATTGGTATTTAAAAAAATAAAGTTTTTCTTTTGAATTGTTTAATTACAAATAGACTTAATCGTACCTTAAATATAATATGTACATTTTTGAGATTGCCCTAAAGATAAATAAAACATGTGATATTTCTTACATTAAATGTCACGTAATCTATAAATAATATATTACATATCTACGCATCATATCATTACGCCTCAGGTAGTCTAATCGTACATATATAGTATAGGTAAATATATGGTAAGGTATGTTTACAAATTAGTATTCTAATTAAAACATTCATAATTTTGAAGTATTACATTAATTAGATATCTGCGGTGATGTACTTATTTTTCGATAACATTAGGAAGGTATGGTCATCGTTCTGTAAGTAGGATGGGGTACCATTTCAGCTCGGAATTGAGGAATTACTTCGAATGAATCCAAATCGTATTAGGAATAAAATTATGAAAATTAATTGACGTAGAAACAATAAACTAATCAATTTGATTGAATTATATTCTCGTGTTGCCGTTTTCGGGTTGTCCTTCGACGGACGCTTTGACTTCCGGTGGAGGTCGTCGAGGTCGTTTTTGTCCTGAATATTAAAATATTATTATTAATTGTTTCCATACACAGTTAAGCTAAAATAATTAAAGTCTCAATAAAGCAGACAAAATCTTTTAAATTGTTTACTATAATTAGCTACATCAGTGTTTTTATTAATATCGTTTTCAGTTTTGCGACTCTGCCGAGGTCGACGGAGGGCTGATTAATTTTTAATAAAGAGTTTGCTTATCGGAGGATATTATGAACTCACCTCCGCTTAAGAGCAGTTTGGTCAAAGTGGAGAACGGCGAGTCGATCAACACCGTCACTATGAACGCCGTCAGAGTGGTCAAAAACAAGTGGCCGAGGAAATCGAAGAGCTGAAAGGAGAAAAACGGAGAAACTATAAATATCTATTTAAAAAATAAAAAATAAATAAATCAGTGGCTCTACAACCTCTTTAACTCTTGGCCTCAGATTTCTTAATCTGTTTCATGATCATTTTTAAATCTAATAGGCAAGTGATCAGCCTTCAGTGCCTGACGCACGCCGTTGACTTTTTGGGTCTAAGGCAAGCCGGTTTCCTCACGATGTTTTCCTTCACCGTTCGAGAGAATGTTAAATGCGCACATAGAAAGAAAGTCTATTGGTGCACAGCCGGGGATCGAACCTACGGCTTCAGGTATGAGAGTCACACGCTGAAGCCACTAGGCCAACACTGCTCTAAATATCTATTTACACAGCTTAAACAATCTCGAAATTGTGATCAACGATCGCATCCTTACCGACTGAGCTACGGTGAAGTACAGAGGCCTAATCTGCATGCTGGCTGCGATAAACATGAAGGAGTAGTGGAAGAGGTACATGGCGTAGGAGATCCGAGCCGGGATCTTCCACATCGGCAGGCACAGCGTCCAGTTGATGGGACCTTCAATTTGAAGAATTATTTATTTTTTTGAACCCATTATTTTTTTCTTTTTCTTTTGTACTGCTACTGTTATTGACGAAGCCGAGCCTATGTCAAGTAGGCTGACGCAATCTGCCCAAGAAATTAATAATTTTGCAAATTTCATTATCAATTATTGTTAAGTTCATTATCGCTTTCTCTACTAGTTATTCCAGTTAGTTAGTTATTCCATTATTTAAAGCAGGTAGTATGTCCGACCCCAGTAACTTTAGACCAATTTCCGTACTACCTACTTGTAGTAAAATATTTGAAAAAATTATATTAATTCAACTGGTAAGTCATTTTAACGTAAACAAATTATTACATAATAATCAGTTCGGTTTTACCAAGGGTCGCTCGACAGCCGATGCCGGTGTTGAGTTATATAGATATATAGTTAAGGCTTGGGAGGAGTCGCATGACGCTTTAGGTGTTTTCTGTGACTTATCAAAAGCATTTGATTGTGTCCAACACGAGACCTTAATCGGGAAACTCCGCCACTATGGCATCAAGAATACAATAAGAACTCAGAAGGTTGAAGTGAATGGTAAGAGGTCCTCTGGGTCGGTAGTAGATATGGGGGTACCACAGGGCTCAATTCTTGGCCCTTTCCTCTTTCTTGTTTATATAAATGATCTACCTTTTATGGTAGAGAGAAAACATCAGATAGTTTTCACAATGCTCTATCTTCGATTGTCCATTGGTTTAGTATGAATAACCTTCTACTTAATGCAAAAAAGACAAAATGCATTAAATTTTGTGCAAAAAATGCAAGGGTTATGGATACTAGACCAATTATAAACGGTGAGGAATTGAATCTGGATGATACAACTGTATTTCTCGGAATCACCATGGATTCAAAACTTCAGTGGTCCCCTCATATTAACGGATTGGCGAAGAGACTTAGTTCTGCAGCCTACGCGGTTAAAAAAATTCGCTCACTAACTGATGTCGATACAGCTAGACTTGTTTATTTTAGTTACTTTCAAAGCTTAATGACTTATGGCTTATTATTATGGGGTCATGCTGCTGATGTCGAAACTATTTTCATCCTGCAGAAGACGGCTATTCGTGCAATCTATAATTTAAAATGTAGGGAATCTCTTAGAGATAAATTCAAGGAAATTAATATACTTACCTTCTTCTACTTCCCTCGCAATATATTTATGAAAATATTAAATATGTATACAAAAATAGTGATAAGTTTACTAGAATAGAACATACGCACAATCTTAATACACGGAACAAACGCAGGCTGCAATTTCCCCGTACTAGACCATCTAAATTTAGTAATCCTTTTTTTGGGAAAAGGGAAACTCTTCTTTAATAAAATCCCAGAGGCTCTTTTATGCCTTTCAATAAATTTAAGAAATGTATTAAAGAAAAGCTGTGTAAAAAGGCTTACTATAAAGTCAACGATTATCTAGTTGATAAAAGGGCCTGGGACTAGTGCTAGACAGGCTACTTCTAATTAATTTGCGATATTTGTTTTAAAATAAGTGTTGTTTGATGATTTGCTATTTTAAAAGAGTACCGAGAGTTTTTTACCCCGGCTTTTTCTCTCGGCCTACACCCTTTGTCTTCTTTGCCGATGAGTAGGGATGCCTACAAATTCAAATTTAATGACGTGGAATAAGTGATACATGTATCTTATGTTCCTTAATAAACATATTTTTTTTTTTACTGAAAGTGACAAAAGCACATACCTCCGTAGCCGTGAACGCAAGCGAAGACGAGCCAGCACAGCGCTATCGCCCAAATCGGCCTGGCAAAGGAGTTGTACAAGTTGTCGGCGAGCTGGTTCCTCCATTCCAACTGCATAACCTCGTATGTCATATAGAAGACGGTGGAGAACATCGACAGTGCGATTATCCAAGCCACGAGCACGAAGGCCTGAAAATCAACCATAAAATCTGATTATTTTTATTATTTAGAAAAATTATTTCGATAAAAAATTTATAGACAGAAAACAGAAATTCTCGGTTTAAACTTTTTTATTTTCCTGCTTTGGTCTCACCAATGGCAATTTTATCTTCTTTCCCTTTGTGAGGACGAGCAGGTAGCCCGCAGCCATTCCAAAGAAAAATGGCGAACCTCTCGTCAACGTATTTTGGTAGAATTTCTCCATGTAGTCCGCCTGTTCTCCTAAACGGCTAAAATAAAAAACATATTCCAATATTTATTATACCCTACGCTAAAAGTTACGTTTCTTCTGTGCAAAGGGCGTCGACGCCATCGCATCGAAGAATCAACTCACACGAGACTCGCGTTACTGGAGGGCAAGTCGAACATGAAGTTGAAGACCGTCGAGGCCACCAGAACGGCCAGGATGCCGCCCGAGAGGCCGGCCCACGCCAGTCTCCGTCTGCCGGAGTATACCCAGACCAGAATCAGCGGAGAGATGATGTGCAGCTGCATGTCGATCGCCAGATACCAGGAGTGCTGGATGCACTGAAAGTCATTTTGAATTATGACGTTCACAAAGTGCATTATTACAAACACTTAAAAGTTAAAATAGAAATGTAATTGTTGTTTTATATCCTCGGTTTACCGGGTTTTAACTCGCCTGAGTGTCGTCCGCCATTCGGGGCTCGCATCCCGATCGCTTGAGCATTTTATAGTTTGACTGGCGTTGTTGAGGATGACGTAAAGTTCTCAATGGAAGGCAAACAGTTTTAGTCTAATCGTATTAAATTGAAAAATAGAATACATCGAGAAACTTACGATATCATTAGGATTTACGTAGTTCTGTACGTATAGAATGGTGCTCCACCACCAATTCCTACATCTCTCTACGTTTCTTGCCACCGTCAACCAGTAGGGGCCGTCGGCTATTCTGTGAAAGACGGAAGCCTCCAGGAGCACGACGGCGCCCAATAGAGGGAACAGACGCATGATACGATTGATGTAGAACACGTGGAGCGTTTTTAAAAGTGACTCTGAAAAAAATTCGACGACATTATTTCATAACGTTAGGCATTCGCTTAAACGTTTGCTAAATATCCCAAACCCCGATATTACGATCGTTTAGTCTTAAGCTTCCCGATATTGAGCGACCCCGAAAGCCGTTCACAAAACTTACTCGTAGTCATCTTTCCAACGGACGTGTAGATTAGAAGAATTCCAGTCATCGTCAAAAAGGTGTCGACGGCGAAGACTCCGGATTGCACGAAGGTGGCCGGAGTGGAGACGAGGAACTGTAAACCACGTGTGTTCTTTATCACGTCCCGTGTACGCGCCACGATTGACGGTTATAGGAATTTATCATCGATGTGTAAAAGGTAATTTGAATATTGGAAAAAACTATCAAATCTTTATCTACGAATATGCCGTCACTCACGTCAATGACCTCCAGGAGATTCACGAACGTGTTGTACATGGAGAAGGTGTGGCCCAAGATGACCCACATCATCGAGATCGCCCGGATCCCGTCCAAGCAGTCCAGGGTGTTGGCGTTCGAGGAGAACGTCGTCAGCCGACGCGTGTTCGTGTAGATGGAGAAAGAGCTCAACAGAGGACTGATTTGCTTCTTGTCTGGAACGACGCGAAATTAATTGTGAATCATAATTCATTATATTTTTTTATCAAATCTGCTCGCGTTCGATTAGGACATCGAAACGCTCGTAAATCATTTATATCGACGTTGACCGTCCTCCTTTAGCCCGGAATCGGTCAAAAGCCGACTGCAAATAAATTTGATCTCGTCCGGTCGCCGGCATACGGCAAAACCGTTAATTCAATTGGAAACACTTTGATGAAATGTATGTATATAATATAATGTCGACGCTTTGATAAAACAAAAAATAGCTCCAAAATTCAGACGTGCAATATCGATTTGTAAAATTGTATCATCGGACGATTAATCGATACCTCGCCGATTAAAAGCAAATAATTAAGATAATGAATGTTTACAAGACGATGATCGGTGAATTGAACTGAAATTATCGATTACGATTTGATTAAACGTATCAACTCCATAATATTATCATTAGTGGATAACGTTAAGGATGACAAACCTGCTTAAGTACTTATTTGGCAGAAGAAGTCTCTCTTAAGTCCAAAGAGCCACTCCAACGAGGAGTGAAGAAAAATTCGGACGAAACATTATTTATTTCACTAAGATAATCTAATGGAAAAGTAATGGCGACATCAATGTTATTCGTCTTTTGAGTAATGAGTTAATTGCACTCTTTTGGGAAGTCTTCGCCGGACACGGATGAGGTAATCTAGAGGCTTAGGCATAATCCGTTCTAGCTTAAAAAGCAAGTACGTTTGGACCAACTTCCAGGACTTTCAGGACATTTTAAGTGCGTCTAGAAAGAATCCTTGTACACCCTCTCACTGTGAATCACAATAAAACTGGCTTATTTACCGATAATGATAGGTTTAGAGATAGAAATTTACCTTTTTTAAGAGTAAAGGTGCAGTGGAGGTCGTAACACGTACTCGCAACTGTTAAAGCGACCAATGTTGAAAATATTGCACTGAAAATTAAAGACCATTATTATTATTATTGTTGCTGCAATAAAGCATGTAAAGTGCTTTGTGAGTTGTGGATATACACACTCAGACACAGATACGATCGATTAAATATAGTTATATATGTTCGTATTATTTTATATATACATATTGTTACGAAAACGGGATTGGCAGGGAACGGCTTAGAGACGTTTTCGGCCAACAGAAATATGATTTATGATAATTTTAAGAGTTACGTTATCTGAAGGATGAAACATTTTTTTAGGCTGTTTCAGAGTTAGTGCAATCACCTGGTATAGCTTTCGAGAAACCTGTTTACAGGCGTTTTCAGAACTGGTTATACACCCCTTTGGTGATGAAACTTTCTGTAACAGCGTTTTTAGGAGCGAGCGCGAGGAAAGAAACTTCTCGATGCCGGACTGAACGTTCTTGAACGACGGATGACAAGGACGGGTGAAGGGATTTCCCTTCGAGTGAACTTGTAAGTGTCGAAGCTTACATTGCCACGTAGTCGGCGGCCACCCAAGGCCTGTCGTCAGGCAGACGGCAAAACTCTTCTTCGTATTTGAACCCAATAGCGCTGACGTTGGCGAACACCTCCGACACCCATTGATCCGTCGTACACGTCTGCGGCATACAAATGCCAAATCTGAACGTTAAGTCATCGAATATTCCTCCAGTATTTCTGTTGAAACGAGAAGCCATTCAAAGGATGTCGAAATACATAGTTATAAGATGCAGACAGTTTCACTTCTGAATTTGCAAAGGCTAGTAGCAAACGATTAGAGTAAAGCTCTGATCGAAAACTTAGCCTCCACACCTCGTTAGCACCGAGATCTTATTTAAAAATATATTTTTCAGAAGTTTTAGTATCATTGCGTGCAGATAAAGTCCGTCGACTTGTTTGAAGAGTAGAAAGTATCCGTAAAAGAAAAAAATCATGATCCATGAATAAAATAACATAATTATCTTATCTTTTATGACTTTTAAATAGCAGTTTTATTATATAATATTTAATGATGGCTTTAAAAACTATAAAGATATTGTACTTTTTTTGATATTCCTATCCATCGCCGCTTAGCGACGGCGAAGAGATACCTAAATTATTTATTATTAAAAATTCGCCTTTACTTTAATTAAGCCAGGTTAGTGAATTGTTCTATTCTAATTCTTACAAATATGTCTTTTATAATTAATCTTTTAAAATTTAAATAAATGATCTTAAGTTAAATCTTACGAGTCGTCTGAACGTTGTTCTATCGCTTTGAACACCACTTCTGGATCCATTCCCTTCCTTCTGATTTGGTCAGACAAAAGATCTCGTCCGTTGAATTGGCCATCCAAAAAGGGCAGTCGAAGGTCTTGATTCAAAGGCACCGTAACGGCGCAGTACTTTCCCTTAATCGGAGGATCTTGTGAATCTGCGTTTAGCTCTAGGCATTTGAAATAATCCCCGAAGTCATTCGTGTTCACATTGTCCATAATACCCGTCGGCACTCGAAAACCGAGATCGAAAACTGAAAGAAAAGATTAAGGGTTATCTAAAAAGATAATTTAAGCAAAAAAATACACGTCAAATCGAAACCCTCCGTTTGTCGATAACTGCATAAGAACATATAACTTAGGAATAGACACTTACATCTTAACAATAAAACTTGATTTTCGAACTTCATATGAGTTATTTGAGATCGACACAAATCGGAGTTTAGCACAGATTCGTACAAATCTTTGTCAAATACATTGGGGACTCCGTCTGGAGCGGCCAATTGTGCTTTCACGTTTCTCACTGAGCTAACAATTACTACGGCTGCTATGCAATAAACGAAACTCATTTTGCCACAATACTTTTCCACTCAATAAATATTTTCACATTCGTGACACCGCACCGCTATAAGTCGAATGCGGAAAGCCACTAAGATCTAATAAATATGATTAATTTACAATTATAATCTAATCACTGGATTTTACAATTATCGGAAATAATGACTAAATTAAAAAGGTTCTCCGAGCGCAGTCTAAATATTTCTGTATTGATTGATTACGGTGATAAAGGCAATTCCGCTAATTTGTCTAACACTGAGTCACAGTAAACCGAAAACCGCTGTACCTACCTAGGACCTCTAATGAAATAATAACAAGTCACAGTGGTAGGAAACGAGAGTTTATGTATTTTAAAAACAATTAAGGTTACACTGATAAGTAAACGTCCTGTGTTCTATGTTTAAGGACTTTAGATGAAAAACTTTCACAATTATCCCTAAAGTTCACTACAACCTAGTTATATCTTTTATTGATATTGTATTTTAATTATAAGGAAAGCCGATTAAATACTTATTATATATAATATTATTTATATATTATTGTCACGGTAAACAAAATTTAAAATGTTAGGTAAAAAGGTCATAAATATAATCTGTCAAACAAAAACTAGTCGAAACTAATAACCTAACCTAATTATTTATAATCATATGCAATGATCCAAAAACAAGATAGCGCATGTGCGTAAAACTAATGCACACAGCATTTTATTTTAAATCTTATTTTCTCTTTCTCCTTTTTTTTCTTTTATATATAATATGTTTACACCATTTCTTATTTAACCGGTTTTAATTTGACTTTTCGTTTAAAAATCATAAATTATTTTATAGATTCGACGTGAACAGCTTTCTATTGTTTCACAACCTACCAAACAATTTGTCAGTTTTAAAGAAATAATAATCACATTTTATTTGTTATATGCGTTTTGTACTTACACCTCAAAAGTAGCCACTGATCCTCTAACTTCATATAGTCAATTTCCTTCTGGCATTGTTCCTCGTCTAACACTTGTTCGTACAGTCCCTGATCAAACGAGTCCCTCGGTATGGAAGCCGGACCATGTATTTGCGCACCAATTTTCGCTACACAACCGTAAATAAATAACCACTTCAAATACATTCTGTCGACGTTCACATTAACACAACTAAGTGACGAGTAGTTCAGTCTTTTATTTCTACAATTATAGTTATTTATAAGAATTCCAAAGCCCGTATATCCCAGAAGTGACCGTAAGCTACTGGGGCTTTTTTTCATAAAAGTGGAGAAGTTAAACTGTGTTTTATCTTATCGCTACATTTAAATCATCGGTTATAAACTAAAGATTTCCGCTATAATTGAACTTAGTACTTACTATAAAGCTTTATATTAGGGATTATCTTTGCCGTAGATAATAATAATAAAAAAACTTTGATGCTACCAATGGCGCTACAACCATTTAAGTCTGGCCCTCAGATTTCTGCAATAGTTCCGTGATCATTTCTAATAGGCAAGCAGGTGATTAAGGTGTGCCGGGTCTAAGGTGGTCCGGTTTCCCCGTAATTTTCTTCATCCGTACGAGCGAGTTTTAAATGCCTGGAATCGAACATATTAATTGAATATCGTTGAAACCACTAGGCCAACACTACTCTAAAAACCTTAAAACAAATGCAAATATTTATATGTATATTTTTTCTATTTATAGTGAAAATTAACAAATTATATATAATTATGCTAAATTATTGACATATGTTTGTAATCGCTCACTAAATTTTTATTGATTATATTTGAAGAAACGTATACATCGCAACCGGAATCAAGGATAACATTTTATCTAAATTTTATTTAAGCCAGTATTAACTCTTAAGATAAAAAATAATAAAGAAGACGTGTGAGATAGGAAAATAATCAATAATTTACCTGCGTTTTGGTGATTGTTTAGACAGTTTTAAATATAACACAATACAAAATAAAAATTAGGTCTATAGTATATCCTGGGACACGAGGCTTTCTAGCTCTGTCCACATTTCTCACCAATTTCAGCTTCATTTCAATATGTACGCTGTAGTAATCTAGTAGAAGATAGTAGATTCATCAGAAAAGTTGGCTTATTAAAGGACTTAATTACACCATTAGAAATGTTGATAAAATAATGTCTTCCGCTCACAAGTTGAGAAACATCAACTTTAATGTTGATGATGAGTGGCTGGGAACATTTTGTTGGCTGGTTTGCCGGAATCCTAAAAACCAATAATTTTGAGGATAAAAATTGGTGTAAAAATTAATAGTAATTTTCTGACTCAATAAAGACAAAATAACTGTATGAAGTAAAATCAATTTATTCTAATACTACTACAGTACTGTACACAAAGCACAATAACTCAAAGCAGTCTCAGCTAATCCCAAAGAGAGGCCCGAGATATTTTATTTGCAACAAATATGAGCACATAAGTAAAAATTGCAAAATAAAAGTAAGCATAACACGACAATAATAAAGATTCAGGTTATGTAGCAGCAACAAAATGTGATTATGGGTTCAATATAGATTCAGCTACTTCAATGCATCTTACCATGAACAAGACTGGCTTTATGATGAAATAAGGGGGTATTTCCAATCACAATTATAAAATTACCAAATAACAAAATGAAAATTTGTGGCAAGATAGACTCTTGAATATTTAATCTATAAGTCTAGGCTTTGTGCTAAACGTGATCCCATCATTATCAAATAGATTACACAGAAACATCTTCTCCAACAGTGAGATACAATTCAGTACAAAGACTGCTCTCAGAAGCATGTCTCAACTTGATTTTAAAATTATGCAGTTTGATGTTAAAACAACTCTCGATGGTAATATTGGGGAAAATATATGAATTCTCCTGTGGGAATAGAATCTCCAACAAACTTTATAAATTGAACAGATCTTTGTATAGACTCACTTTCATAACTATTTCCAGCTCCTGCAACTCCCGCATTCCAAAAAATTTCCATTCCATCGAAATCCATACGTTGAGACAGGTGGTATGCATGAATTGAATAATTTCGATTTTCTTGTCTTTCATAACCTCCTTATAAATATATGAAATAATATTTCCACCCGTTAATTATTCTTTTTAAAATCTTTTTTCCTATGTTGTACGTTCGTGAAATTATTTGTCCTAGGTACCTAAAGGTACTCTTCTAGGTATTCAATTTGCTTTCCGGTGGATATTGAATAATTTCTGGAATGACTGATGATTTTAAGATAAGAATTTTATTGAATAAATCAGAAAGGATAGCTAGGACAGTGTTTTTTACTGCTTTAAGAATTTAATTAGGTATGCTGTCTGGACCAGGATCTTTTTATTTGTAGCAAGGCGTAGAATTGCTATTCCTACGTCTTGCTAAAGATATTTGGGATATTTTCAGAGTCACAAGTATGTTTTTATAACATGAAGTTGCGATTCATTAACCCCCTTCCTTTTTTTTCTTAAAATAAAGTTCACAAAAGAGAGTGGGACTTCTTTACATGAGTTACAATGTAGCCTATAAAATATAAGAATATAATTATGGCTAGTAAGTAATATTATTATTTTTACGCTCGCCTCAACATGGTTTAACGAAGGCTTTGTCCTTTATTCAATATTTCGTGCATGTGCCTTTCAGGAGAAGTAGGAGTTTCACATCGTCCTCATTCACCTGGGCGTGATGTCCCTGCCTTTCCAGTATTCCAGAGCAGAGGGTGTAGTAAAAAATTCCCTATTGACAATTTTACCTTCCTGTGCGTTAGGTAGCGGTCATCCATTCTTCTTCCAAGCCTAATAATATCCTTGTATATAATAAAGTAAAAGTTGGTTTTAATTTAAAAAGGAATGAAGTGCGGCATTTTTTATGTGAATTATTCAAATAGTATTTAATATAAATATGTGGCCTAATGTTCAGATGGAACATACCAATTAGAACACTAATACAAGTCACCATTATTTAAGACGAGCAGCGAAACGACGAAGCTTTTGAAAACAGGGTTGAACTTTAAGAATTATTATCTATATTTTGTATAAACGTTATTAAAACTAAATAATATTCATTGCTACTGTTTATTTAATTTATGTAATTTGTATTGTATTTTTAATTAAAACAACTAAGTTTGTTCAAAGTTAGTAAGAATACATTGTTAGGCGAATTCCTACATCTTTTAAAATCCGAAGTATTATTTCTCAGCTAATGAGCAAAATAATGAACTAGATTTAAAATAATAAGGTAATTGTGTGCTTAGATTAGAATTCACTTACTTGAATACATCTCTGGTAGTAATTATCGAAGGTATGGCCGGTAAGTATAATGTCTCATTGTTAATTGTTAGCGGCCTATCTCTGCGGATCTCTTTGCATCTGTCCGCTTTATCGCTACGAGAACTCGTGGACTTCGCGATAAGGATCATTCATTATACAAATATTTATACGTTATTAATAAAGCACAACGTCCGATCAATGGTTAAACGCTATTTTCGAGCCAGAAGGAAAACCCAATCGCAACTGAACCACTTTAGGACGTGCAGAACGTGTGAGATGTCGTCAGAGTTTTATTAATTCCAATTTGGGCCCGCGACATCAGAAACCATTCATTCGTAGCGCATCATTATTCACGAAGAACCACATTATATGCCCATTATTTTAGAAATAACAACTAACTTTTCTTATACGATAACCGAAATACATTTTGTTTTTATATTATGTAGTATTTTTTATGTAAGACCTAACATAGTCTTCGATGGAAAAAATAATATTGCCTCTGTTATGCTATTCCATTTTTTTATCACAATTAAACATACATGCAAAAAACAAATTGTTTGTCTTTTGACATTTGGACCAATCTTTAATTGCTGTTTATGAATGGTCTTTAGATTGCGATAATTACAGGAAGACAGGGCTTAATGTATCTTATCAGGTGAGCGTGACTTACACAAACTACATCCACTTGTGCTCGGGAGTTAAATTTTTAAGTTGTTTTGCTTCTCCGAGTGAAGATGGCGCTCGACACTCGATTCGTTTCACGCAT